CTCTGAAAACTACAAGACACTCATGAGAGAAATTAAAGAAGAAATGAGTAAATGGAAACACATCCCATGCTCATGGATAGGAAGAATTAATATTGTCAAAATGGCCATCCTGCCTAAAGCAATCTACAGATTCAATGCAAACCCTATCAAAATGCCAACAACATTCTTTAATGAACTAGAGCAAATAGTTCTAAAATTCATATGGAACCCCTAAAGACCCCAAATAGCCAAAGCAATCCTGAGAAAGAAGAATAAAGTGGGGGGGATCTCGCTTCTCAACCTCAAGCTCTACTATAAAGCCACAGTAATCAAGACAACTTGGTATTGGTACAAGAACAGACCCATAGACCAATGGAACAGACTAGTGAGTCCAGATATGACCCAAGTATATATGGTCAATTAATATATGATTAAGGAGCCATGGATATACATGGGTATATATACATGGATATACATGGGATATAGTGGGGAAATGACAGCCTCTTCAACAACTGGTGTTGGCAAAACTGGACAGCTACACATAAGAGAATGAAACTAGATTATTGTCTAACCCCATACACAACAGTAAACTCAGCATGGATCAAAGACCTGAATGTAAGTCATGAAACCATAAAACTCTTAGAAAAAAACATAGGCAAAAATCTCTTGGACATAAACATCAGCAACTTCTTCATGAACATATCTCCCCAGGCAAGGGAAACAAAAGCAAAAATGAACAAGTGAGACTACATCAAGCTAAAATGCTTCTGTACAGCAAAGGACACCATCAGTAGAACATAAAGACATCCTACAGTATGGGAGAATATATTCATAAATGACATATCTGATAAGGGGTTGACATTCAAATTATATAAAAAGCTCATGCACCTCAACAAACAAAAAGCAAATAAGCCAATTAGAAAATGGGCAGAGGAACTGAACAGACACTTCTCCATAGAAGGAATTCAGATGGCCAACAGGCACATGAAAAGATGCTCCACATCGCTAATCATCAGAGAAATGCAAATTAAAACCACAATGAGATATCACCTCACACCAGTAAGGATTGCCACCATCCAAAAGACAAACAACAACAAATATTGGCGAGGATGTGGAGAAAGGGGAACCCTCCTACACTTCTGGTGGGAATGTAAATTAGTTCAACCATTGTGGAAAGCAATATGGAGGTTCCTCAAAAAGCTCAAAATAGAAATACCATTTGACCCAGGAATTTCACTTCTAAGTATTTACCCTAAGAATGCAGGAGCCCAGTTTGAAAAAGACAGATGCACCCCTATGTTTATCACAGCACTATTTACAATAGCCAAGAAATGGAAGCAACCTAAGAGTCCATTGGTAGATGAATGGATAAAGAAGATGTGGTACATATACACAATAGAGTATTATTCAGTGATAAGAAGAAAACAAATCCTCCCATTTGCAACAACATGAATGGAGCTAGAGGGCATTATGCTCAGTGAAATAAGCCAGGTGGAGAAAGACAAGTACCAAATGATTTCACTCATCTGTGGAGTATAAGAACAAAGAAAAAACTGATGGAACAAAATAGCAGCAGACTCACAGAACCCTAGAATGGACTAACAGTTACCAAAGGGAAAGAGTCTGGGGAAGACGGGTGGGAAGGGAGGGATAAGGGGGAAAAGGGGCATTACGATTAGCACACATAATGTAGCAGTGAGTGAGGGGGATATGGGAAGGCAGTATATAGCACAGAGAAGACAAGTTATGATTCTAAAGCATCTTACTACGCTGATGGACAGTGACTGTAATGGGCTATGTGGTGGAGACTTGATAATAGGGGGAATCTAGTAACCATAATGTTGCTCATGTAATTGTACATTAATAATACCAAATAAAAATTTTTTTAAAAGACAAAAAAAAAAGAAAGTTCTCTCTTGATGCCACTTCCCTCATGTACACCTCCCCTTCCCTCTGCTTTCAGGAAGCTCCTCAAGAGAGTTGTCTTTAGTCTCTCTCTTTCTCAAAGGCTTTCTCGAGCCCACTGCAAGCAGGTTTTTGCTTCTACCCATCAACCGAAACTGCCCTTGTCAAGTTGGTCAACCCTCAGTCGTCACCTTGCCAGCCCTTGCAACAGCATCTAGCACATCTGGTTTGCATTGCTAAGTCCAGTGGTCAGTCCTCAGTCATCATCTTGCCAGACCTTGTGACAGCATCTAGCATGTCTGGTCCCTTCTCCCCTCCCCCTTTAAATGTTGGCACACCCAGAACTCAGTCTTTGGATCCTTAGTCTTCTCTACCTACACTTCATCAAGCCTCCTGACTTGGAATCCCTTCTACATTTCTCATGGTACCCACATTTATACTTCTAGTCTGAACTTCTTCTCTAAGTTGCAGGTTCATATATTCAACTGCTTCCCCAACCTCTCCATTTAGATGTTTAACAGACATCTCAAATTTATTAGATCCCAAACTGAGTTCCTGATATTCCCCCCCTCAAATGGTAACTCCATTCCTCTAGTTGCTCAGGCCAGAACTCTTGAATCATTATTTCCCTTTAGATGTGGATGGCTCCTAGGAAATCCTATTAACTCTATCTTCACAGTGTATCCAGAAACTGACTACTACAATCCTGACCTCCTCTTCCCTTCACTCATTTTGAGCTAGCTACACTGTCCTCTTTGCCTCCTTGAACACTCCAGGCATGCTTTGGCCTCAGGGTCTTATTATAATACTGCTTTTCCCTCAGAAATCTTTCATCCCTCCCTCACATCATTACTGCAACATTATATTCTAAAGGTGGCCATCCCTGATCACCCTATTTAAAATTGCTCTCCTGTCTATGATAACTTTGCTACTTTAATTTTCTCTCCATCACTGATTTCCATCTAATAAACTGTATTTTTTACTAATTTATTTTTGTCTATTATCTTTCTTCCCCTACTAAAACATAAAGTCCATCTGGCCAGGAGATTTATTTTCTCACTGCTATATCCCCAGAGTATGGCACAGAGCCTGGCATATAGCTGGTAGTCACTAACTATGAACGAATGAATGAATGAATGAAACCACACACAATCAATCTTCCTTGAATGACACATGCCCTACCTCTGGACTTTTCTTACTGCAGAAGCCAAACATATCCAATTGTCAAGTCTGACTGAATTAGGATTTTTGTTGTCTTGTACTTTCAGCAGAAGTCTGCCTGATGCCCATGAGTTTCCTCATTTTATTTTCATGCCATCTCTGAGAGTTGGGTATATTCTTTCCATTTCCCAGATGGGAAAGGTGGGCCCCAGAGAGATTAAGTTACATGCCAGAGGTCACACAGCTAGGAAATTGCAGAGCGCAGATCCCGATCTCACCTGACAGACACCAAAGCTGTGAGTTCTTAGCTACAGGACTCCACCATCCCCAGAACCACCACTGAGCTGAGTTAGCCTTGTCCTGTTGTTGTTTGCACTTTTGTCTGCCTCTCTCCTTAGACTGCTCCCCATTCTATTCATCCCCATTACCTAGTAAAGTAAATGGATCAATGAACAGATTCAGGTACAATTCTGCTTAATATCATTAATTCATTCAACAAATCCTGACTGAACACCTATCTCATGCTAAGCACTGTTAGTGCTTATAGTCTAGTAAGATGTTAAATAAATAATCACATACATAAATCACAGAAAAAAACTTTGGTCAGTGCCATAAAGGAAAAGTATGGGGTGCTGTGAAGGTACACAACAGAAGCCCCTATGTTAGATGGGAGGATGTCACTGAGGGCCTCAGGATCTGAAGGATAAAGGGAGGAATGGTCCTAGGAGAGAAAATAGCCTAGCAAAGTTCCTAAGGAGGAAATGAGCCTGATGCCTTTCAGAGACAGGGATGGTAGGTGTGCCTGGAGTGCCTTGTCAGTGGTGGTCTGTGCTCCCTAGGATCTGCATGCAGGGAAGGGGTAGACATCCTCCATGATTGGAGTTTAACAGATTTCTGCAAGGATAGGGGGCACAGGCGTCCTCTCCTTGACCACTGAAGGAACCAGCTCTGTCCTCAGTGTCTCTATGTCCAGAAAACTTGAGCGTGGTCACTTTTTCTTGGGCCAGTGTAATTCAGAGAACTAATCCCTGCAAGTCGCCCTGTCTGGGAGCTGTTGGAATTGCTCCAGAATGGGACAGCGGGGCCAAGGCCAGAGCCCAGCGAGGAGGGCTCTGCAGAGCACATAGATTTTGTGGTCACGGCTACAGGCTTCACCTAGGAGGGCTGGATGGGATCAGGGCAGTACAGAAGGATGGAAGCCACCACCCACTGATGGCAGTCTCCCTCTTCGTTGCAGGTCTCCCTGGGCCTAGTAGAGGAGCCCGGGGCGCAGGATTGGCTTGCAGGTAGAACCCTGGAGGAAGGAGTTAAGAAGGCCGGGCTGATGGCCGCAGAGACAGAGCTGTGTTTATCCAGGAAAAGAGGTCGTACGTAGGCAACGGAGGCCCCTGCCAGCTCCTCCCAGAAGGACTGGGTTGGGGGAGCAAGCTGGAGAGGAAGCTGCTGCCCTCCTGGCTCTGAACCCCTTCCGGCCAGAGGCCTGGACTCAGCAGCTGCCCTCAGGTGAGGCCTGCACTCTGGGCGTTGTACGGAGCCCGCTGTGGGCTCGGACTGCCAGGCCGACCGGTGGGAACATCACGTTTCCGGGAGTGCGGCGCCGGGGTGCGGTGAGCGCGCGGTGGTGGAGCTTGCCTGAGCCAGCTCTGGGGGTGGCGAAGAATCAATGCTGCCTTTGTACTCAGTAGTTTCGCAGCGAGAAAAGGAGTGGAGAGTGGGAGGGGCTGCCCAAACGGCCGGGCCCCGCCCTGCATATTCGGGGTGCGGTAGGGCTGGGCGGCGGAGCGGGACAATCGGGGCTTCAGCGGGTAGGATATGTGCCCCGCGAGAGGTGCGTCGTCTCCTTGGACTATCCCTGGGTGCTCGAAGGTAGCAGCCTGAAATGCAGCGAGTCTGCTTCTGGCCTGGAGCGACTCGAGAAGGCGAGGGAGGAGCAAGAGGAGGCAGGTGGGGCTAGGGCTGAAGGACGGCTCAGTCTGGAGAAGCTCACGCCCGGACGGGGTGGAGACAGCCCAAGGGGCGCCAGACCCGATCTTGGAGGAAAGTCCGAGTTTTCGAAATGGGCTGGGATGAAGGAGTGAGCCCGCCTAGTGCCACCGTGTCTCTTGAGCGGGAGCGGGGTATATGAGTGGGGTTCGGGACCCAAGTCCGTGTTTGTGACTACAGGCCTTTTGGTATTGTTACTGTAGTCCCCCAACGGTAAGTAGCCTAGTGTTCTAGTGGGAGAGATGGGCTCTCTCACTCTGAAATGAGTAGGCCTTGAGTACAAATGGAGGAATCTGTGTATGTTCGAGGTCTGCATCTGAAAATGTGACTGTATAGTCCTGGGCTCCCTCCATTTCTCCCCGGGGGCCCAGACTTGGCACCCTTTGTTTTTCCTGCTCAAGCAGGGGCCCGGTCGCCCCGCGGGCCAGGGGAGAACGGCGCAACGTCAGTCCACCCGGGGTGCGTTCGCATCATCATCCTGCTCTGGCTCCTCTTCTCTCCAGACCAGACCAGCTCCTCCCAGGCCTGGATCTGCACCCTCTCGGCCCCGCGGAATTTGGACTTCCACACCCCCACCCACCGCATGTGGCTCTTGGAGAAAGCTGGCTGCAGGGTAAGGACCGCGGAGCCCAGGGCTTGGTGGGCGCCCTCCAGCCTCTTCTCTAAGCGCCGCTCCCAGGGCCCGCGCGCGCGCGCCTGCCCCAACGTCCTCACCCCCGACCGCATCCCGCAGTTTTTCATCCCGCCGCGGCTTCCAGACCCGGGCGCGGCCGAGGCCCTGGCCGGGCGCTGCCTCCCCTCGGTCTGTTCGCTGCCACACCTGGCGGGCCGCGAAGGCTGGGCCTTCCTGCCCGAGAGCCCGCATACACGCCGGCGGGAGTCACTGTTCCACCCCCCGCAGCCCGCCCCCGCCGGGGGCTTTCCGCCGACCCAGGCCCGGCTGCACGCCTCCGCGCCGGACCTGCGCCTGTGCAGGGCCCCCGACAGCGACACGGCGTCGTCGCCGGATTCTTCACCCTTCGGCTCGCCGCGGCCAGGCCCCGGCCGGCGACGGCCGCCCCGGCCGCACTCGCTGTCCCCGGAGGAGGCGAGCTCCGCCGACACCAGCCCGTACGCCCCGCGCCGCGCGGGGCCGCCCACGCCGCCGCTCTTCCACCTCGACTTCTTGTGCCGCCAGCTGCAGCCAACCAAGGAGAGCGTACTGCGTCTGGGGCCCCGCGGCGGGCAGCTGCGGCTCTCTGCGGAGTACCAGGCCGGGCCCCGCAGGCTGCGGCTGCGGCTGGTGAGCGCCGAGGGCCTGCCCAGGCCGCGGGTCGGCGCGGGCAGCGGCGGCGGCGGCTGCTGCGTGGTGCTGAGGCTGCGGCCGCGCGTCCGGCCGCGGGGCCAGCGGAGCCGCGCGGTCAAATGCAGTGCCAACCCCATCTTCAACGAGGACTTCTTTTTCGACGGCCTGGGCCCTCCGGACCTTGCAGCGCGCAGTCTGAGAGCCAAAGTGCTGGACCGGGGAGCGGGACTCCGCAGGGACGAGCTGCTGGGGGAGTGCGAGGCGCCCCTTACTGCCCTGCTGCCTCCCCTGGGTGGGGGGCCAGGGCCGGGGGCTTCCTCAGCGCCTGCGCATCTCAGCCTGTAGACGAGACAGTCTACCTTAAGAGATCACTGGCTCTGCAGTCTTCATCCTTTCCCCCTGCCCAGCTTGTATCGGCACCCTACGCTCTGCGATCTGCAGCCTACCCTCTTCCCCTGCCCTGGCCATCCGAGGGATGGAAGCAGCTCATTCACATTGTCTGAGTTAGAGCACACTTTTAAGGAGTGGTTCTCAAACCTGAAGGGCCGTCAGAATAACCAGACAATGGAAATCCTGGATGAGCTTGTTAAACATGCAGAATCCTGGGGTCCATCCCCAAGATACCCTGGATGCTAGTCCAGTAGGTCTAGGCTGGGTAGGTCCTAGGGTCCCTGTCCCACAAGGCGTCCCTGTCCACCTCTTCAGGAGACCCTCCAATCACTGAGTCACTCCAGAAAAGGCTCTGTGACTGAAGCCAATGGAAGCCTTCCCCTGAGGTTGTTTTTAGGATGCACTTCCCCCCACCTATCCACCTCCCTACTCACGCTCACATCTGCCCTGACAGGATGAAATTTCTGTGCCTTGGGAGAGGGTCAGGGGTTGTCAGATTAGCCCATGGTGCCTCTAGGTGTCCTCGCTATCCCTTCTACGCTTGTGCACCCTAGGAGGCAAAGCTGGAGCCAAGAGCCAGAGCGGCATTTGGTACTGAACGACCTAGATATAAAGTCCCAGGGATGGAGATCTCTGGGGAGGAGGGGGGTCCTACCACAGTGTGAGAGCTGTTATCAGAGAGGCCCAGAAAAGGCTATCCTGGTGAGTAGGGGGAAGGTATGGAAGGCAGATAAATGTAGGTCAGATTATATTTACCTGAATGTCCCTGACGTCAACAGTGACCTTCTCTCTCTCTACCTTCCTTGGAGCTGATTCCTCTTGGCTCAGGCCAAGCTTGGAGGAGGAGAGGAGGGAGGGAGGGAGGGAGGGAGGAAGGGAAAGAGAAAAGGAGGGAGGCACTGAGCAAACCCAGCTTCTCTCCCTGCCCTCCTTGGGCCGGTTCTCATATTCACAGTGCCAAGAACCAGGGCCTAGCCCACTAGCTCCCAGTAAACCTCAACATGTGTAATGTTGATGCAACACACATCCCAGGTCCTCCACCCTCCTCCTCCTGATAAGGTACTCTCTTTCCAGCCCTAGGCCAGGGAAATCCTGCTCCAGATGTCCACCAGGTGGTAGCATTGACCAAATAATAATAAGGGCTAACGGCCGCACTGTTAGTACCAGGGAAGGAACTGTTCCCACGGTTATCATTTATTCCTCCCTGCAACTGCCATGAGGGTTAAGTACTACTGTTATCCAATGCGACCTTGGGCTTTACTCATTTTAGGAGAAGTAGAACTAGGATTAGAACCCACAGTGTCTGGCTTCAGAGCCTGGGCTCTTTATCACCTCACTATTATCCCTAAGTGCCTGCTGCTGCCTCCCCAGCCAGGTCACTAAAATGGGTCTCCTCCTTCCCTAGGATGATAGCGCTCCAGTCTTTTCAGTCTGTGAAGTCGACCCATATGTTTAACTCTATCCCTAGTACTGTCTTTCTACTTCAGCCCCAAATCCTCCCATAACCTTTGGTAAGCAACTGGATCAGTGCCCATTTGAAAGTAGCTGGAAAGAAACAGAGGGCATTTAACCTTCATTTATGCATTGCTTCAACAAATACTTAGGAAGGACCTGTGAGATGCCAGGCATTGGTACAGCAGTGATCAAAACAGAAATGAGATCAGACAAGTTACAAAATGAATAAGTAAAATGTAAAAAAAAAAAGTTACTTGTTAAGATATTACAGAGAAAAGGCAGGAAAGAGCATAGGAAAAAGGGAGTAAGATAAAAAGAAGATAAGATTATAGTAATGGGAAGAAGGGAGGGAGTGAAACATTTTTTTCTAACCACAGTACTTTGTACCAAGTCCTGTACTTTACCTGTGCTATCCCAGTTAATCAGCCCAACCACTCATTAAGATAGGTATTATTCCCATTTTACTGAGGAGATAGATCATTGGGGTTAAGTGAACTTGCCTGGGGAGCAGTGCTAGCTGCAGGGGTACTTTGGGACTGTGACTCCTCCGAGGTCCCCCACCCTGCCCTACCACTCAGAGGTAGTTGTGCGGGGGATTTCAAGTCCACTCCGCTCAAAAGCAGCTCACTCAGTGTACACAGCTGTGAACTGTCCCCCTGTGTTGGAACTTCCCGGCTAGCTAAAGCCATAGAAACTTGCGAATGTGAATAAGGTCCTAAGAACCACTCCTGCATGCAGACTGCTCTGGTCTCAGAAAAAGTACACAAACACAAGTCAGGACAGTTATTATTGTCCCTTTTTACTGATGTGGTAATTGAGGACTAATAAAAGTCAGACCACATTCTTATCCAAGTCTTTGGCTCCAAAAATCAGAATTCCTGCCTTTTGACCCTCCTTATTGCACCCAAGCCTAAATGCCACAAATGTTAATTGAAAGGTAAGTGGCATAATCAGGGTCATCATGGAAAGTTCAGGGCCAGGAGCTGGGGTCAAACTCCCACTATTCCCTCCAGCCACAGCGGCTTCTGTGACCAGAATGGGAGGGGGTGGAGACTGTAAGGTCTACAGATGTTTATAGAGCCTAGTTTGTCCCTTTTTTAATGGCTGAGGGAGGTGGAGGTACAGCCCCCTCCTTAAGTTGCTCCAGTGGTTTGAGGAGTCCCCAGGCATGGACCTCCTAGGGAGGGCCCAAAGAGAGGTGGTCCTGGTCACTTGATCAGGCTCCCCCAAGGGGTGACCCAATAGGGATAGGGCTGGGTGGTATGTGGCAGGAAGGTTGCCCAGGGCCCATGGTCTTTCCACCTTCACAGCCCCAAGCCCTCCCTGGAAGGGCAGGCTTACATTGAGTTTTGAGTGGTTTCTGTAGTTTAGGGGATGGGGACAGAGGGAAAGAGAAGTTGGTGACTGCTCCCCAGTTCCAAGCCACCACCACCGTCCTCCACCTTCCCTCACCCCAGGCTGCTTGCCCCCTGCATTGAGATTCCCCAGCCTGGTAGGGGAACTTGGGTAGTGGGGGGTGAAATGATTCTTTGATCCCTGTCAGCTTCTTTCTTGTATAAGAATGTAAGAATATATTTGAGGAGGAAATAACCATTGCTCTGCTTTGAAAGGACTGATTCCTCCAGAAAAGGGGCTGTGATCAGAGCAGGAGGGAGGAAGGTTAGGTATAAGGGGAGATTTCCCAAAAGAATGAGCACAGTACTTTCCTGCCCTAGGGAGAAAGAACCCCAGCCATCCACACTAAGAGCAAGGCAGGGGTAGAGAGACAAGAGAAAGTCTAGGAAGCTTGTGACTGAAGGCTGTTAGAGGCCAGGACCCCACCTTTCCAGCCCTCAGCCACTCCCTCCCCACCCTGCAGAGTGGCACCGAATGGCATGGCTAGGTGAGGTAGCCATACCTGTAGCATCTGGAGCAGGCAGGGCTGCCTGGCAAGGTACCATGGCCAAGTGCCCATTCCCAGGCACTCTGCATGGTCTCCACTCTGTGCTCATGATTTGGAGGTCGGGAAGGGCCCTGGGAGACCCAGAGTGACAGAGGAAGAGAGACTTAGAGAGAAGAAATAGGGAAGAACTGGAGAGGCAGAAAAAAAAACCCAGAAGAGCCCTCACCAGGGAGGGGGCTGGCAGGGAGAGACACAGAGAGATAACACTGGGTGGGAGAAAAGCCAATCACGGGAGCAGGAAAGGGAGAGCAGAACGCTGCCCCAGCACCCCCTGCTCTCATCCCTCTACCTCTTGCTGGCCCTACTTGTCTGCCAAATGGTACTGGGTGGGTCATGCTTCAGAGAGCTTTGCTTCTTACTCCAAGCCTGCCCAAGGGGCAGAACCCCAAACAGACCAACATCCTGTATACATAGTATACATAGGCACGTGGGCCATTGGATAAAGGCCATGCATTTGCCAAAAAGACACAGGGATAATCTGAACCTGTGGATAATCAAGGCACAGAAACATACTCAGACTCCCAGTACAAGAAGGTCCCCAAAGTTTCCACTCCACCCCTTCCACTCCACTTCACTCCCTACCCCCTTGTCAACTATTGTAGTAGATGGAAAGTCCTTCTCTACTTCTAACATTTGTCTCTCAAGCTGCAGCCACTGGGAAGCTCTGGGAGCTCCCCAGGAATGGAGGTGCTGATGGCAGCAGAGGGTGAAGCCCCAGGGTGGAGCAGAAATGGAGGATGGGGAAATAGGAGGGCAAGAGAGGGAAGGGACAGCTGCCTGCTCTCTCCACGCCAGGTGCCACGTGCTGTGGCATGGCTGGCTCCTGCTCTGCTGTTTACCAGCTGGGAGAGGGAGCAAGAGGAGGTGCCAGGGAGCCTCCCCACTGCAGCCTGGCTCCTGGCCAGCTGGCCTGTTGGGTAACCAGGAGAGCTAGGCCCAGCTAATCAAACTCTGGGCTGAGGCTGTGCAGGAAAGAAGTGGCATCCAGGACCTGTGGAAGCCTTGTCCCTCTGCTCTCTGCAGAACCCTTCCTTAGTGCAGGCCCCAGCTGTGCATCCACCTGGCCTGGGGGATCTCCTTCCCCCAGCTAGTGCGGTACAGGGTCTCTCCTCCCCTCTCCCCTCCCATTGCTCCTTTGCCTCTGCACACTCCTCCAGGCCAGTCCTCTGGCCCCCAGTAAACAGGAAGATATGGAGGCATCAGAGAGTCAAGGAAATCTACGGAAGGGCAGCAAGGTGCAGGGGCTAAGCAGGCAGAGGCCTCAAGGAACTGAGGAACCACTGGGTTGAGTCTGACCTCATCTTGGAGAAGAGGTACAATCTCCACTCCCACCCCTCCAAATAGGCCATCTCTCCTCCATCTCCTCCCTCTCCATCTCCCTTGCTCCTGTTGCATGTCTTGGTCAGGTAGAAAGTACATGATTCTGAAGTAACAAAGACCTGTATTCAAATCGCAGCTCAGCTGTATACTGTCCTTGGGAAAGTCATTAGTATTTTTATCACTTAGCTTGTGGGTAAATCTGGAATAATTATGTTTCCCTCATGGGGGAAGTTGTGAGGATCAAAGAAAATCACAGGCCCTCTTGCTGGCCCTACTTGTCTGCCAAATGGTACTGGGTGGGTCATGCTTCAGAGAGCTTTGCTTCTTACTCCGAGCCTGCCCAAGGGGCAGAACCCCAAACAGACCAACATCCTGTATACATAGTATACATAGGCACATGGGCCATTGGATAAAGGCCATGCATTTGCCAAAAAGACACAGGGATAATCTGAACCTGTGCCTGGCATAATGTGCCTGGCAAAGGGCCCAGAACATAGTAGGTGATCAATAAAAGCTAGTTCCCATCCCTTCACGTAACCTATTTCTCCTCAAGACCCCAAACTCTGTTCCTCTGGTCTCTCCCCTTGTCCCCTTGTGGTGCCAGCACGCTCTGCCAGCCACTCCTTTCCCCTGCCCACAGACGGGCCAGGCGCACCCTCCCTTCACCCTCCTCCCTCCCCTGGGCCCTGCTCCCTGCCCTCCTGGGCATCCAGGGCAGCAAGGACGGTGCCCAGGGAGCTGCCCCATGGAAAGGACCCCACAGAGATGCCACCGAGCCTCACAGGGTAAGAGGCCTTATAGCCCTACGGGCAGGTGGAAGGGACTGTCAGGAGGTTCAAAGGAGAAGGAAGACTGGGAAGAGACTGGTCAAGAGGGTAGGAGGGAGGAGGGACAAGAGAAGAGAGAAGGAGAGAGAGGTGGATTGGTAAGGCAGGGCAGGCCAGGAGACAGGACACATACTGACAGAAACTGAAGGATAAATGGGAAGAGAGGCTGGGACACGACAGAGGAGGAGAAATAGGGAAGTGGGAGAAACAGGAAACTCGTTAACAAGGAAGAAAGGCAGAAGTGAAGGAAGAGACAGGTGGAGCTGGGGGAGGAGAGAAGGGCGGGGCCGGGGAGCTCCATGAAATGAAGGGCCAGAACGTGGACAGGCCTCACAGGTGTGAATGCCCCATGGAAGGCTGCAGGGACACGGCTTTACTGACAGGGAGATTGCTTGGCTGGCTGGGACCCTGGGCAGCAGTGGCTGGAAGGCTGGCCACTCTACCTTCTCTTCATTTACCGGTGGAGAAAGCTGTCTTGCCTTCAAGGATGACAGACAAACAGGGAGGGGGGGCGGAGAGAAGTAACCACACCCTGTCAGCTGCCCATGCCCACTGCACTTTCCTCCCCATTAGTTCAGGGGAATGGGGTTTCATTTCTGCAGAGAAGGTGGGGCATCAGGCCAGGGGCAGCAGGGGACAGAGAGACTCGGGCAGTCCCTGGCCCCACCAATGGTTTGACTCAGAGACCCTCTCAGAGCAGGATCCCATGGCCACATGCTTGGGCAGCTGTGCGCACTGAGGGGAAAGCGCGAGTGCCACAGCCTCCGAGCTCCAGGGCCACCTGGTGGACAAAGAACTCCACTGCCAGGACAAGCAAGGGTAGCGCCACTCCCCTAGCAGTGCTCTGAGGTGCAAGGCTGGAAGCCAGAGAGAAGGTGCCATCAGGGAGGAAAACTGGGTGGGCCCAGGCCAGGCCAGCAGAGGAGTGGAGAGGGACCAGATGAAGCCACTCCCCCTCTGGACAGTCCACCCACCACAGCAGAGCCCAGACCTTCAAGTCCAGTTGCCCCCACTCAGCCCAGTGGCAAAAGTCTGCCAGTGCAGAGCATCTCCTGGCCAGGCAGAGGAACAGTGGAAGCAGGAAGCAGGGTGGAGAGGCGGGGAAGAGGTGTCCAGGATTGGACAGCAGAAGGAAAAAACAGAAGAGCACATTCAGAGGTTAAGGAAACTATAAAGGGCATAAGGAAGGGAGGGCTGCAGGGTTTTCTGGGGCAAAAGACTGGCCCTGGGTTCTATGAGGAGCTGCTGCATGGATGTAGAAAATGGACAAAGGTCTGCCAGGGGAAGCCTCTTCCCAGGGGCTCCCTTGGTAGGTGTTTAATAAATGCTAACCATATGAAGGAACCCCCTACCCCTTCACAAAGATGCTCCAGGCTTTCCCCTCAGCAGTTACCCCATGGTAGTCTGTGAATCCTTGCCCACCCCACAACAACCCACTGTACTCCCTACTGCCTGCCCTCGACCCAGACCAGCCCTACAGCAGCTGCAGGAAAGGATCCTCCCTCTGCAGGCTGGCGGGCCTGCGGAGCACGAAGCAGGGCAGTGCTTGCAGCATACTCCCCGTCCTTCCCTCTAGACTGCCTCACCATCCGACTCCCCACCCCACGCCTCTGGGATTCCCAGGCACTTTCAGGCATGGATGATCAACCAAGAGATTTAACTCCCACAGAGATTTACCTGTGGAAGCAGAATATTTATTGTGCACCTCCAATGGGCCAGGCACTATGGAAGGCTCTGGGAATAACAGTGTGAGCAAGACAGACACAGTCCCTGACTCCACAGGACTTACTGTCTAGTAGGAAAGCCTGGTTTCATAGATCATGACACAATTATAGCACTTAGGGGATATGGTAAGTGCCAGGAAATCAAATGCAAGGTCCTGAGTGTGTAAGCAAGAGTGAGTGTGGGGGAGAGGAGACTGTACAGCCTCTCCAAGGCAGAGGCATAATCAGAAATTTGAGGGATGAGAAGTTGACTAGATTGAGGGGGTACAGAGAGAAGAGCATTCTGGGCAGAAAGAACAGCTTGAGGAAACCCCAGACATAGTGAGGAGCCTGGTGCTTTTGAGGACCTGGAAGAGAACCCAACATGACTGAAGGGCAGAGAATGAAGAGAGGGGTGCCACAGAGGGTGGTTCCCCCTCCCCAGATGCCAGGTTCTGTTGGGAAGGAAGGAGTGATGATGGGGGCCTTTGAGTGGGAAGAGGGTCTCTTGGTCCCCCATGGTCCTCAACTTTTGGCCCCTACCCATCCCCCTCTTCTCTTTACAGAGCTGCTGGCTGCCAAGAAGACTCACACCTGTGAGTAAAAGGTCGAGGCAAGAACTGGTGCTTGGGTGTGGAGAGATGGCCAAGATTTCAGCAAGGGCTCTGCTGGGAGGTTCCCATGAAAGAAAGGCATGAACTTTGCACAGAGGGGATGAGCCTAAAGAGAGGTGGAGCCTAGAAACACAGGGAAAATGGGGAGATGAGGACAGGAGGGGGAGGGGTGAAAACACCTCAAGATCAAGGCAAGGGGAGCAGATAAGGAAGAAGCCTGAAGGATGACAGGGAACATCCAAAGAAACAAGAACAATTACAAGGGAGCCCTAGGAAAAGGGGAGAAGAGATCCCAGGCTGGCACTGGAGGTGGAAGCAGGTGGGGCAAGCTGCTGGGCGGGAGATGGGAGGGAGACGGAGCACGGGGAGGCGGGGGTGGCCTCAGGAACTCAGGGAGCCAGCACCAGGCTTTGTGGCAGCAAAGCCAGGTTTAGCGTTCATCTCTGTGGTTAACACATTCTGAGGTGTGAACAAGCCTGGGGCCAGGCATGCAGGGCTAGGGAGCAGGAAAGCCTTCATCTCTGTAGGAAACACAGTGAACAGGGACATTCTAAGTCCTGGGTCTCTGAAAGACTGAGACTACAGCATGTGATCAGTGGTCTAGAGTTCAAGAAGGACTTCCCAATGGATTCTAGCAAGCAAACATCTCTAGGGACCTCTCAGCACATCATATTTGTAAGAGAGGCTACTCCCCCAGAAAATGCACCCACTCCACCTCAGTTTCAAGGCTTATGTCCCCCTGGGCCATGCATGCCTTGTTAACCTGGAGAAGGCCTTGTTATGGAGAAGGCCTCCATAAACATGGGTCTCTGAACTGATGAGGATCACTCTGGGGCAGGAGCAGCCACATGCATTTCTCCATGGCCCTCCCTTGGATGGCCTACCTGCTCCTTTTGATTGCTCACCACCGCCCTTCCTGCTGCCAAAATTGCCTAGAGGCCCCCTGTTCCAAGCAGATAAATCTCAGGTTGCAATAGCGTCCTCCTCCTCCCTGAGCTGGACAGACAGGGGGCCATCTAGGATGCTACATCCTCCTGGGTAGGGGGTTGCTTTGCTCAGCACAATCCTGATGGTGCCTCACCTGCCCCTAGCCACAGGGCCCCACGGAAATGCTGAGCAGGGCCCTGGGAGGAAAGCGGGTCAAGGAGTGACGCGAGTGAGCTGGGGGAGGGGGAGCCAGGGACCATGTGTGGGTGGGGAGAAAAGGGGGACTTTTGGAGCAGCTGGAACTGGAAGAGGCTAAACTCCATTCCAACCTTTAACCCCTTAGCACAGAAACCTTGGCCAAGACCACCCCTTTTCCCCTTCCCAACCCACTGGTCCTGTGCAGCCATACTCACACCCACCAAGAATGTCCCCTTGAGAACGCAGGCTGCCAGCCCTTCCCCGAATCCTCTGTCCAGCTGCAGAGAGCCCAAGGAAGGCCAGCAGGCAAAAGCCTGCACCAGGCTGAGAAGCTGCTGGAGCCCCAGCAAGATCAAAGGCCTCTTAAGAGATTTGGCCTAGAGAAGCTAAAAGAGATTAATGCCTCCTCCAGGCTGAGAGGCTTGGAAAAATGGGCCCCAAATTGAGACAACCCCAAGGAGGGAGGAACCCAGAAAGGACTCCCCCAGACCAAAAGGTGACCAATTACCGAGGGCCCTGAAGAGGGAACCCACAGACTAAGGTATCCTATAGAGGAGATATGAGGCTAAAAGGGTCTCTAAAAGGTACTAGTCCTTCAGAAGGACCCCCAGACCAAGAAACTCTATAGAGATTCACATGCCAGGAGACCTCTCAGGTAGGCTGAACCACCTTCAAATGCAGACTTAAACCACAGAAATCCTTCCATTTCTCAAGTGGAATCTGGGGCCAAACTGCCCAAGTTTGAATCCTGACACCACCACTTACTAGCTGTGTGACTTTGGGCAAGTTACTTAACCTCTCTGTCTAACTTTCCTCATCTTTGAAATGGGGATAATGGTACCTACCTCATAAAATATTTTGTGAGGATTCGATAGTCCACATACAACATGAAGAACCATTTATGGTACATAGTAAACCCATCATCATCACCATCACCATTATCACTATTGTCTGCATTCCAATATTGGCATTTTTGCTCCTGAGGAAATTTCTGACAGACTAACCCCTCCTGCAGATAATGGGCATCTGTCTGATGATTACTAGTGATTACCATTTATTCCCTAGCCCAGGGCCTTCACTGTGTCTCTGGGAGAGCATGAGCATGGTGGGTTGGTGTGGTAGTCTCCCAGACTGCACTTCACTAGGCACGACTGTTGGCAGTATACAGGGTGTCAGGTGGCAAATGCCACCTCCCTGGGCAGACATCCTGTGACTTACCTCTAGAAACATCCCTGTCCTTGGAGTCACCTGGCAAAGAGGGTCAGGTTCTGGGATCCTCAGGGGGAGGAGGAGTAGGAACCTGGCCTCTGGCTCATGTGAGCTCCATTCCAGCTCCCCAGCCAGAACTACCCTGGCGGGTGGAAACAGCGTTTACCACGTGTGGCTTGTCGCATGTGGTTTTGGAATTTTCCAACGCCCCCTGCAACTGACTGCCCCGCCCCTCACACCCTGCCCCAGGTCCAGATTGGCCACATGGGGCGCCTGTCATCCTACCCGCTGTGCCCCAGGGGCGGTGGTGTGGGGAGTGGGGGGTTGTCACTTGGCCACCTGTGTGGTGTGGAGCTTAAACCCCCTTGCCCAGAAGCCCTGGGGGAGAGCTAGGTGCAGAGCTGCAGGCTGAGGCTCTGCTAAGAAGGCCTTGCCCCCAACCCGGCTACCAGCTGCACCCTATCCCTGGACCACCCCCTGCTGAGAAGGACAGGGAGCGGCAAAGCCCACAGCTCAGTCATGAGAAGTAAGTGAATGGGGACACCTGGGAGTGGGGAAGCCTGGATCCGGTTGTCACCCCCAGGCCATCTGGAAGGGAGGGGTGTCTTGGGGGTGGTGTGAGCGAGGCTGAGTGCTTTCCCTGGCAGGGTGTGTCCTGGTCAAAGCAATGGGCTCTTAGTAGATGGATGGAGTAGCTGAAGAGTCTTGCTCCCCAGGCAACACTCATAGAACAGTGGTAGTAAGGGGACTGTTGAGGGAATCCTCTGTCATGAACTCCGGAAACAGTCTCCAAGAGTATCTGAGGTAACCTGCCCCCTCCTTTTACAAAAAGAGACTGAGACGCAGACAGGTCAAGTGCTTCAGCCCAGATCACACGGCTGTAGTAGATAGAGGCTGCTAATCCACAGGCAGCCGAAGCTCACTTTCCCAGTCCCACTGCAGTGTTTCCCTCCTTGCCTCCAACCTGCCTGAGAGTGGGGTGAAAAAGGAGGCCAGAGGATTGCTGTGCCCTGAAGCACAGCAGTGGGAGTCAAGTGCAGTCGGTGGATAGAGGAGTCAGCGCCCCAGCATCCAGGCCTTGGAGCCACACCGTGCTTTCTGCCCGATCCAGGTACATGAGGACTGAGTGGAATCCAGCCAACCTGCTGCCTATGTGTGTCTGTGTGTGTGTGCGTATGTCCAGTTTCAGTGACCCATTTGATGAGGGGGATCTGGCAGTGGAGATGGGAGTAGAAAGCCTTCAGATTCACCCCCTGCCTAGCTTGAAGCCATGGACCAACAGCTGGTGGACAGATGTTTAGGGTTTCTGTGCCTTCTAGCAGAGCAAAGGGTGCCAAATCCAATGGTCCCCAGGTTCCCATAAGGAAGCCAGAGACCCTCTCACTGCACAGGGCAAAGGAGGAAAAGGCAAGTGCCATGAGCCCTGAGGCCTGAGGCAGCCCCAGCCTGTTCTTCCCAGAGCCACAGAAGGGAAGCCATATTGGGTCCTGGAAAGACCCATGGCCTGATAGTCTAAGACCAGGTTCTGGCGTCAACTCTGTCACAGACTAGCTGTGTTAGCAAGTCACTGGACCCTGGAATCCTCAATAAAACAAGAGAGATGAAGCTGAATTTAAAAACAAAACCAGCTTCAGAGAGGCTCCCAGTTCTAAGGGCCCTGAACCAAGGAGAGAGCCCTGGTCCCCAAGATGGGCACAGCCAAGGGCAGTGAAGTAAACTCAGCTTTCCCAGAGTGTGGATGTAGAGAGTCCAAGGAAAGAAAAGAGCTCCATGTCCATGCTTGGGACAGAGGCTCCGGTGCAGGTGTATGAGCAGGAATGGATGAGGGGGTGTCAGGAGAAGAGCCAAACACTTTCACAGGCAGAAGGGCGCCTTGGAGTTTCAGAGTCTCATCTACTTTCTTCCCACTAGCAGCAATGGTTAGCAGACCAGACTTTCCAGAAATGGTCCCAAATCAGCAAATTCACCCCAGGAAACAATGACTGGGTATGCTGCAGAGCCTGGAAGGAGGGTAGGAGTTCCCAGACTAGATGAGGGAGAAACTTGGTTGGTTCTGCATGGTATCTCCCCACAGCTCCATCCAGGCTGCCAGGTAGGAGAGGTCATCTAATTCTAGTCTGGGGGTAAGTGCCACTGGTCCTTCTCACTTGATAGTTCTGGGCCTCTCACAGCCCCAGGTTGTCTAAGTGCCCCACCACCACCACCACACACCCTAGTGAGGTGCCAGCCAGCACCATGCCCTCTGATGATAGCTGGGGCAACACATGGCACTGGGGTCTTGGGACCATGGCACACCAAAGACCAAGGGCCACATGCACAAGGAGCAGAAACAGACCAAGAAATAGAAAGATGCAGAGGCCAAACCCAAAGGACAGAAAATTAATGAAACACCTGGGGAGAGAATGTCTAGATGGAGTTATAAATGGAGAAACATCAGGAAAGCCAAAATATTGAGGCAGGAAGCCTCAGACAGAACCGGAGTCCAGAAGATAGGCGGGCACACAGACCCAGGGAGGTGAGAGAAGACTGGCATAGAGGGGAGGCACTGAGCATTGATAGGGTCTTGCAAGGTAGAAAGTGGGTGGCATGGGTTTTCTGGAGATCCTGAAAGGACAGTACAGGCTCCCTACCATAGTGACCTGCTACTAAGTAGAGAGGAAATGTCCATTACCCAGAAAGACTCCCCAGCCAGCCAGAGGGATGGCGGCCCAGTTATCTCACTGTGAGGGCATGGCCAGTGTGGGGCCAACAGTCATGAGGCCAGGCATTGGGCCTGGATGGGGAGGTGGGAGGATGAGGGGTATGAGGCCACATGCTTGTCTTTGCTGGGCCCTGATCTGTCTCCATTCTCGTCATGATGATGAGGGCAGTGGGCCGGAAAGGAGTCTCAGTCCCCAGGGTGCCACAGATCTCACTCCGAGAGCCCAGGACCATCTGGGGACTTTACAAAGGGTCCCTCCTTCCTTGCTTCACTCCTGCACCTTCACCTTCTCCTCTCTTCCCCTTCCTAACAGGAATCGCAAACATGCCCAGCCCAAGGCACTAGAAGTCAGAGCACCCCAGCCCGACCCATTGCAGTGGAGCATGGGTCCCCCTCCCCTGCTTCTGTATCGACCCAGACAGGCAGCAGGGACTTGCCGGTGCTAAGAGCTCAGCAAGGAGGCAAGCTCTGAGGTCTCCTGTCCTCTGTAGCTAGTCGTTTCTGGGGTCTAATCTCCCTCCTCCCACTGCAGCGACTGCCCCTTCCCTGGGACTCTGGGATCAAAGGATGGAGGTGTCTACTTTGGGGGAGGGACAGTAACAGGGCAGAGCCTCAGGACCAGGGCCAGGGTCTTTTTGGGCCCACTGGCCCCTGGAGCAGCAGAGGTGTTCTGGAAAGGATACACAGCCCTGGAGTCAGGGAAGGCCACTAGCTGTGACATCCAGGGTCCCACTACCCAGAGCTTCCTCCCAGTGATTCATCCCCTTCCCTCATTCACTGGTTGTTTTCACTCAATTCTTTGTTTCCCCTCCTTTCTCCTGTCCCAGACTGTGGGGGTAGCGGGGGCACCAGGAGGGGGTTTCAGGTGGCTGGCTGGCTTTCGTGGCTTTTCAAAACCCCCGACTCTTCCTCGCCCACCTGAGTTGTAGCTTCACTACTTTCTCAGCCCTGGGATCTGGATGTATCAGCAGAAAATTCTTGCCATGGGCTGGAAGGAGAGCTTACCAGGTAGAGAGCTGCTTCTCTTTGACCACCACCCAGCATTGCCCTCCTGCTCCCCTGTGGTGGCACCCACCACGGTGGTTTCCAGCTTCCCAGAAGCTGCGGGAACTGAAAGCTGAGAAAGGAGGGAGGCTGGTGACAGGCTGGCGCTCCCAGGGACCCCTGGCTGGAGCTGTGGTCTCCGTGGGGAGAGGGACTGAGAGTTTTGGCTGTGGGGAGAAGGGGGCTAAGCTAAGAAAAAAGATGCATTCCTCTTTCCCATTCACTCATTCACTTCCGCAGAGAGGCCTACCAAGATGTAGGAAAGCCAGTCTATGCTCCAAAGGAGTCGAGACCTTCCAGACGAGCCCCAAGTCAGAAGCTCTGTTGAGATGGGCGAGCTGTTCTACCTTGGCCTTAGAAGCCTGTCCCTGAGAAATGAGTAAAGGCAAGAGGAGGCTGGCACCACGGTGGAAGAGCTGGGACAAGAGGGAATAATGTCTCTCTTGATCTTTATTCTAGATACAAATCCTGGCTTTAGTTCCATGGGCATCCTCTCTGAATTCTGTTCCACCCCCTTCTTCCCCCACTTCATACTTTTCCCTGCAGTCAGTAACCCTGCCCGCCTTCCCATTCTCCTTGTTGCATTTGGGCCTCTCTTCCTTATAGGGTATACAGCTAAATGGTTCAGGATACTGGCTCTTGAGTTACAGAGACCTAGGTTCAAATTCCAGACCTGCGACTTCTGGCTGTGTGATGTTAGTCAAGCCACTTGCACTCTCCTGGACTCGGTTTTCTCATGTGTAAAATGAAAACAATACAAGTAGTACCTACTTTGCAGGGTTGTTGTGATCATTAAATGAAAAAAATGTATTTAAAGTCTGACACAGAGTAAGAATCCAGCCAAAGCTTATGTCTACCATTATTATTCCCCCTGATCCATGTCCACGAGAGGGGAAAGGAGAAAGACAAGACGGGGAAAGCCCAGCCCCAGACTGATGGCGCCCCAGGGGGACGGGGCACCCCAGGGTGAAGGGCTCCTCTGCCTTCACGTGCATCCTACCCCAGGGCTGGGGTGGCTCTGAACTTGAGGGAAGATATCCCCTCCTGTGTTCTGCCACTTCTTCTGTGGTTAGGGCACCTGGGCAGGGCCTGGGGCCAGCTTCCTAAGGGTGGCACAGGGCCAAGCTGCGGATGCATTCAAAGAACTTATCAATGAATCTTGCAGCTGGGAGAGGGGTGAGATTAGAGGAGGTGGTGGGGGAGGACAGACTGCTTTGTGTCCACCATGTTTCCCTACAAAGAAGGTGCTCATAGGAAGCTCTCTGGTGATACTTCAATCGAGGAAGCAATCCAGGAGAGATTCATTTTCCTTTCCTAACACTGTATGAGAATGAAGTTTTAGAGGTCACACTTATGGCAGGGAAAATTCAAGAATGAGCTGGGAAGGAGACTGCCAACCCCATCCTCATCCCCCAGGAGGAGCAGCCTGGGACAGGAACAAGAAGAGGGGTTCAGTTATTGCTACTCCAAAGTGTAGGCTGAGGACCAGCAAACTTGGGCACCAACCAGGAGCTTGTTCCAATCACACCTCCTGAGGAGGGACCGGCACTTTCCAAGATCCCTAGGTGATCTCGTTTGAGAGCAATGGACTAGAGCCTTCCAGCCACTGGATGCTTTCAGGAGATATGGTGTGCGTGTGGGCATTTCTCTCTCCTTGGAATGAGAGGGTTTCCTTGAGGCGGCTATGGCTACTGTGAGAGAAGAGGGGTGAGACACAGAATTTCCCTGAAGCAGCGGGTGTGACATGGTTGCAGGCCCATCAGGGCAGCTGTGGGAGCCAGCCTGCAGGGCCTGGCCTAGAGGTCCTGAACTTTGCTTGGTTCTAGTTCCTGGCACCAGCAGGCCCTTAGATGTTAAGTTCCTGGCAGGCCAGGCTCCCAGGCAACAGTTTGAGTAATCCTGTGATTACTCAGCTCCCCCTCCCCAATCTGGGTTCCCATCACCTGCTGCTTCAAGGACTGACTCAGGAGACAGGTTTCGAGGTATTCTGCAGCTCCTGCTGATCCCATTACCACCTCTGCCAGTCCCCTTCCCCTGCCCTCCTCTCCCCTCCTCCACAAGTCACACTCACGTGCAGTGCATCAGTATTTTCTCTTGGAGGTTTCTGGTAGATGGTATTCACTGGGGCACAGTTGGCAGGGGAAGGAGGGAGGAGTAGGGTAAACAGGCCTGACAATGCTGATGGGGCCAGGGGTCTGGCATGGTGCCAGGACATGAGTAGGGGTTTTCCTGTGTTTCTGCAGCTCTCTCCCAACTCTGGGTCTAAGTCTCTGTTGTGTCCCAGTCCTGAATTTCTTGGTGTCTCTCTCTAGCTCAGAGGGTAGAGGGTCTGAGAACCTCTAGCTCAGAACCCTTGACTCTCTGTGCCTGTCTTACTGCACACCTCTGTCTTGGACTTTGGTTGGGAGGCACAGGGGGGTGGCCAGCCTGGTGGCTGAGTTCTAAACCCTGGCATCCCCCAAACATGGGTATTTGTGAAGGGAGTCCATGGCCGGCCACACCATCCTATGAGAAGAGCAAGGGCTCAGCGACACCTCTGTGAGGCCCCCAGCCCTGGAACTAGCCATGGGTCGGACGTGAGGCAGAGAGGTCTGTCTGGGTTACTTGTGTGGTTGGCGCACACACGCACACGGATGTGGCTCTTGGAGAAGGGAAGAGGCAGGGAGCCCTGTGGTTGGCGGCTAGGCTGGAGTCCGAGTTCCCACTGTGGCTTGGCCTGATCTCCTCCCATTTACCTTTCTGGGTGACCCACGTTGGTTTATCCCCTTTCTGGGCTGAGGGTCACCGAGGAAAGAGATACTACAGTGTTGGTGGGGAAGGTGTTGAGGCAGGAGCAGACTGTATGGGACACAAGGGCTTGTGCCCGGCCTCCAAAGCCCGCTGCACCTCTGGCCCTCGGCTCTGCCTAGTAGTATCCAACATACAAGGAGCTTCATCTTGTGCACAGTATTTTCCACAGGAGATGTAATTTAACTTCTGTGGTACCTACAGTCACCCCATGGACAGACAATTGTTCTTTTTATCCTGATTTTACTGACAAGGGAATTGAGGCCTAGGGAATCTATATGACTTGATATGCAGGGGCCCCACATTTTCTGCCCCTTTTCCAGATGCCCAATCCCCTCTTCTTCCCTTTTCCCCATTCCAATCTGCTCTTAATTTACTGAAAAGAATCAGAAAAGCTTACTTTCCATCTGTCCTGGATTACAGCTTACTGCGTGGGTGTTGGGCAGGCTGGGGCAGGAGAGAAAATTGGATTTTAATGGAAGGGCTTCAGACACCTGTGGTGGCCCTGTCCCCATGAAGAGACAACTGCTTGCTCCTGACTCAACTCAAGGCTGGCCTGAGGGGATGATGGTTTAAGGATGACGGGAACAACATTTCAGGGAGTGGTAGCTGAACCATAGTCATCTTTCCCACCTCATGTTACATTTTCTGGCTGGGCAGGCAGCAAGTCAGTAATGGCAGAGGAGAGACCCACATGCCCTCAGAAGTGAGGAAAACACATGACAGAGCAGGGATCTCAATTCTGCCCAGCTCCCCTTCAAAGATGAGCTGGGAGAAAGCCAACTGCTGGTCCCCGAAACTCAGTGGAGAGCTACGGGCATTGACAGGGACAAGGCAAAGTAGAGGAGATGAACCTGAAGCCAGAACAAACCACAGTGAAGGGAGAGGGGCAGGCTCAGGTTACAGGGAGATCAATAGAGGGGGTGAGGGTCTTCTTACCCAGTGAACAGACACTAACGTTCAAACAGCCACTTGTGAATGCTGGCTCAAATGGACATGCCCACTGGCTCACACACCAAGTGTACCTTTCATGTGTACACACACACCTTCAAAGATGCCTACTGATATGTGTACCCCAAAAGCTATATACATGGAACAGGTTGTGGGAACTGGGATGTAGACCCAGCTCTGGGGCAAACTAGCTGTATGAACCTGGGCCAACCACCTTACTTCATCCAGTCTATTCCTTCGTCTGTAAAGGAAAGGAAAGAGGTTGAAGGAAATGGTCTGTAGTCCAGGCAGTGTTAACATTCATAATCTGTGCCTATATATTTGGCGGCCCAGATCCCCATAAACACATAAGCACACATACTCTTGCATGCTGGTAAACACAGAGCCACTCTCTCTCTGCTCTGGGACCAGGGACCTGGAGCTCTGTCTCTCCCTAGCTCTTGGGCATCCTCCAGATGCACTCTCCTGGGCTTCATCTCAGCTTCTCCCTCCTCTTTGGGGCCCTAGTCCGTGGACCTTCACGCCTTGGCCCCTGGTCTGCACATCCCTTCCCTGAGCTTTCACTGCCTGGCTGAGGATGGGTGGCTCTTTACCTGGCCCCCAGGTGCCTCTCACATGGTGCACCACATCTTCCCACCAGGCCCCACGCTCTGCCCATAGGAACTGAGCCCCACTGGGGGAGGGCAGTACAGAGGAAGCCCGCTGGGCGGGAAACAGGTGCTGCAAAGCAGTGAGGACTCCTAGGTCCCCAGGCAGGAGGGAAGCAACTGGAGCTTTTCAACTTGAAAGACTGAGCAGGTGGCCTCTCTGCAGCTGCTTTCTGTGACCCTATAGAGCAGATACAACTCCTGGCTGCCCCGCCAAACAAAAACAGCCTCCACAGACCCTTTGCTGAGCAGCATTTGGCACTTCATTTCTTCCATTTTGCAAGAAGGAAACAGCAAGCTGGAGCAGGGTGCAGAAGCATTGTGTCCCTGTATCTATAGCCCAGGGACACAGGGGAGGATTTGGAAAAAGTCTCTTGGGCTGATCTCCTACTCTTTCTCTCTTCCAGCACAAATTGAAGTGATCCCTTGCAAAATCTGTGGGGACAAGTCATCTGGGATCCACTATGGGGTTATCACGTGTGAGGGGTGTAAGGTGAGTGCACACATACACACAGTCTCTTTAGAGATGAGGAAAAGGCTCAGTAGTCTTTGTCCTGACTCCAGGTTTGGTCTCCTGAGGCCACAGGGTACTGTCTGGGTGGAGCCCTACCTGGAAGGCCCTATTCACAGGAGAGACTTACCTTGAGCTGGGGATGTGATTGCAGGGCAAACTGCAATCATGCTAAGAAATGGAGCAGAGAAAACCGCCTGGTCTTAGGGCATGGAAACCTGGGGCTCAGGGCTGAGCTGAGCCTAGCCAGGATCAACAGCCTTGGTCTCCTCATGCTTCCCCCAGGGCTTCTTCCGCCGGAGCCAGCAGTGTAACGCGGCCTACTCCTGCACCCGCCAGCAGAACTGCCCCATCGATCGCACTAGCCGAAACCGCTGCCAGCACTGCCGTCTGCAGAAGTGCCTGGCACTGGGCATGTCTCGAGATGGTGAGGCCAAGCGGGCAGTCCCCTGGAGTTTCCCTGGAGTCTCTGGAGGGCAGCCTGGCCTGCTGCACTACACAGGGGCTAACCTGTAAAAACGCCCTTCTGAAGGTCTGCTCTCCATTCGTCCCTCGGACGGGCCCTAGTCTCCTCCACTCACCACCCAGGCAGGCCACCCTCATCAAAAGCCTTCACAGTGCCCAGCTTCAGTCTCTGCTAGAACAGCCCTCTTTTCCCCAAGGTTCCAGATGCCTCATTCTTCAGAATGGATTCTCCCCACTCTACTTTCTTCTGGCCCAGATACCAGCCACGTTCCACATCCTGCCCTGTCTCTGTAGTTCTAGCCCCATCTCCCTTCCAGGTCCCCAGGCCCATCCGAGGACACAGGACCACGGCTGGGAATGAGATGTAGGAGGCATGAGAGTGGGGGAGGGGAGGGCTGCTGCTCCTGGTGACTTTCTCCATCTTCCTCTCCCCCGCCCACCCCCAACCACAGGAGGAGCCCCCAGCAGGGCTGGGGAGGCACGAGGTGATGGGGAGCTGAAAGGAGCCTGTCAGCACATTTTAGCGCCCAAAATAACAAAGTGAAAGGAAACACAGAGGGGTGCAAAGGGGCAGGTGGGGCGAGGGGCCATGCCCCCACACCTGGGAGGGGTGGTGGGGAGTGAAAAGGCAGGAAAGAGAGGGCAGAAGAGGATGTTCAGAAACAAGCCGCGGAGCCTGGGTTGGGCTGTGGTGAATATCTAGGTCACCAGGGAGCCTGCAGGCCTGACCACAGGGAGACCTGTGTTCTCAGCTCTCCTCTTCCTCCGACCCTCCTAGACAGGCAACATGACCCCAATACAGATGGAGGCCCCCTACTCAGCTACCCTCAAAACCCAATATCAGGAGTTCAGAATCCTCAGTCCAGACTCATTGCTTGAATTCTGCCACTTTTAGAAGCTGGTTTCAGGCTAGGAGCATTTGCTCAAGAGTCCAAAAGGTCTGGGCTGGACAGAGGCTTGAAGCAAACGAGAGGTGGGAGGGGTCTGGAACAAAAGTCCCCTGAAGGGAGGTTCCTCTAAAGAAGAAGCCCTGCCAAGAGTCAGCTATGTAGGGAACAGCAAGCTGATTCTGTGATGATCAAAATGCCTCTTGACTCTGCCCTGTACCCGGTCCTCCTGCCCAAACACTTGCTGATCCCTGAATCTCTTGCAGCTGTCAAGTTTGGCCGAATGTCCAAGAAGCAAAGGGACAGCCTGCATGCTGAAGTGCAGAAACAGCTGCAGCAGCAGCGGCAGGAGCAAGTGGCCAAGACCCTACGTGCAGGGGGCCAAGGAGCTGACGCCCTCACTTGCCCCTTGGGGCTACCCGACGGGCAGCTGCCCCTGGGCTCCTCGCCTGACCTGCCTGAGGCCTCTGCCTGTCCTCCTGGTCTCCTGAGATGCCCAGGCTCCGGGCCCTCCTTCTGCAACAGCTTGGCCAAGGCCAAGCTCAATGGGGCCTCATACCACCTCGAATACAGCCCTGAGCGGGGCAAGGCTGAGGGCACAGAGAGCTTCCATAGCACAGGCAGCCAGCTGGTGCCTGTCAGATGTGGACTTCATTTTGAGGGCCCCAGGCATCCTGGGCTTGGGGAACCAGGACAGGGACCAGACAGCTACTGTAGCCCCAGTTTCCACAGCACCCCAGGGGCACCTTATGCCTCCCTGACAGAGACAGGTGAGCAGCTGGGGAGGTGGAGTAGGGGGGAGGTTGAGGGAGGGGCTTCCAAGAGAGGGGCCCTAGTCAGCATGCCATGTGAACCAAACATGAGCCCAAGAGAGTTGAGGGGCCCTGGACAAGAGTTTGAGCAGGGAAGCAGAGCAGGGGTAGGCCAGACAGAGGAGTGCCATTTGGATGGGCAGGGTAGGAGCTGGGTGAAAGCAAGCTAGTGCCTTCCTCCTCTGACCCCAGAGCACCTGGTGCAGAACGTTTGCAAGTCCTACCGAGAGACATGTCAGCTGCGGCTGCAGGACCTTTTGTGTCAGCGCACCAACGTCTTCTCCCGGGAGGAGGTGGCTGGCTACCAGAGGAAGGTAAGGCCAGGAGACTGGGTGGGGGGGACATTCCACCACCACTGCAGGAGTCCAGAGCTGGCTACCTGCACATGCAAGTGACTGGGGCAAGGCAGGGTATCATCAAGATACACAAGTGTGTGCCCACTTTTAAGTATGGGGGGTTCTACACCCTAGGAAATGAATGAGAGTTTCCCCTTAGCTCCTGCCTGTTAACAGTGTACCCAGACTTCACCCTAGATCCCCCATCCCCAGACCTCGGCATGCTGTCCTCCTCCTCTGTCAATGATAACAATGATCAGAATCCTGATCACCATTTGTTAAATGGTGATCATTTTCTCTGCCAGGCACTGTACTAAAAGCTTTATATAACTTATCCTCAGCCCACCTATGAGGCTAGCATTTATTTCTATTTTTAATGGACTAAGAAACTTGAGCTCAGAGAGGTTAATGGACTTACTCCAGGTGACGAAGTAGTGGGGCCAAAGGCAAATGCAGGTCCGTACGGTCCAGAGCTGAGGATCTCTCCTCTGTCACACTCTGACAACACCATTCAACCTAAAAACACTTATTTGGCACTGAACTTATGCTTCCCTACATATGGAGAACTTTGGGCATGTCCTCTTGGGGAGGGAGGGTCAGTATGTCCTTTTGGCTGCAACAAGATGCAAATTCTTCGAAGGCAAAACTGCATCTCAGACAGTTTTCTATTCTACCCCAGCAGCTTAACTCAGTGCCAGTGGCTGATGGGTGCTCCATAAGTGCCACCAAATGACAGGAATTGACTCTGAGTGTGCATTTGTGCTAAGAATAGGCAAAAGGCACCGGTATTTTTTTAACTGACCCCGGCAAGTTTATCAATCTGGGCTTCCAGGGCCTTGGGATGCTCACGGGGTCAACCAACAGCTCCAGCGGGCCCCTCCTCCTTCCTTGCAGTCCATGTGGGAGATGTGGGAACGCTGTGCCCACCACCTCACAGAGGCCATTCAGTACGTGGTGGAGTTCGCAAAGAGGCTCTCAGGCTTTATGGAGCTCTGCCAGAATGATCAGATCGTGCTACTCAAAGCAGGTGCCCAGGGACAGTGGGCAGGCCTGGGGGGAGGGGAGACAGGGCACAGAACGGGGCAGGGCTGAATGGTGGGAGGTGGCTTGAAGAAACCAGGACACTGAGGGGAACAGAGATGGATTCCTGGCTTTGCCTAATGCTGTGTCTACACCTTTTCTCCTCACTCCCCAGGAGCGATGGAAGTGGTGCTGGTCAGGATGTGCCGGGCCTACAATGCTGACAACCACACAGTCTTTTTTGAAGGCAAATACGGTGGCATGGAGCTGTTCCGCGCCTTGGGTGAGGGGCAGGGGAAATGAGAGAGCGGAGTCCTCTGGGAGATCCTTCTAAAGCTTCAAGACTCAGCGTACCCTCTTCTCAGGGCAGACTGCCACCTCTGCTCCAAACACCAAGTGGGTGGGTGTCCTTGTGCCCTGTGGCCTCACCCACCTCACTCACTCTTTCATCTCCACTCCGCCAGGCTGCAGCGAGCTCATCAGCTCCATCTTTGACTTCTCCCGTTCCCTGAGTGCCTTGCGCTTTTCCGAGGATGAGATCGCCCTCTACACAGCCCTTGTCCTTATTAATGCCAGTGAGTGTCACTGGGCTTGGGTAAAGAGCATGCAGGTGGTGGGTGCGCAACAGATACGGAAGAGCCTGAACCCAGTGTTGTCATAAAATAAGATGAGTTAAAATTAAGATTCAGAGGAGCTGAGAGAAGGACAAGAGCAGCGTAGATGGAGTCGAAGAAGTAGGAAGACGCGAGCGCAGGAGGAAGTGAGACACTTCCCCGAGAGAAGTTAGTGCTTGTGGGTCCGTGTCAGTGATTCCACTGTGCTCGCGCACTGGAATCACCTGGGAGCTCTAAACGTGATTGCTACCTGAGCGCCAGTCCCGGAGACTCTGAGCTCATTGATCCGGGGTGCAGCTGGAGCACCAGGAATTTTAACAGCCTCCCACCCATGACTGTAATGTGCCACCAAGCTTGACAGAAACCACTCTATGTGAATTAACTTTAAAACCATGTGCCATCATGGCAGGACTCTGGATACCCACCCTGCTAGAATGGAGTAGGCTGAGCTGAGCCTGCTGAATGCGAGGTATTTGAAGAAACTGGGAAAGTGGGGTGAGCTGCTAAACCTGAGTTTGCAGATCAAGGTTATCAGTCTTCAGGCTTTGCCAATGAGTAGAGACCTAAACACATCCCCTGAACTAGAAAAAGACTTAAAAGATGATGTCTGGCTATTTTATGAAGCCAGGGCAAAAGGTGGTGGTTTGTCTGTTAAAATTAGCTACAGACTATTGCAGAGGCCCTGATGCCAGTGTCCATGGCTTCACAAAGGCCATCTCCTACCTGGGGTCATTGTTAGCCAAAGGCTGGGAGCTTTCCAGTTTCTTTTTTTCCCCACAGCAGAATCCTAGTGCCTAGCATTGCATGGACTATGTGAAATATAAGGGTGTGTACAAGGAAGTCAGCTTAGAGTTGGGAGACTGGGAGTATTTACCACTTTCATCTCTCCCCAGTTTCCCTTTTACACAACAACCCAAGCCCAAGGTCCCAGAGCTTATCATTATCAAACCAACATGCACACGCATATGCACACACACACACACACACTTCAACTAAGAAAACCTCTATCCAGCATAGATGTCCAAAATGGTACACCTTTTGGTGGAACTTAACATCTATGTTCTTTCTTGTTCTTGCTGTGGTCCGGTCCCCTCCTTCAGACCGACCAGGGCTCCAGGAAAAAAGGAAAGTAGAACAGCTGCAGTACAACTTGGAGCTGGCCTTCCATCATCATCTCCACAAGACTCAGCGCCAAGGCATCCTGGCAAAGGTAGGAGCAGTGTTTGGCTTAGAAGAGGTCAGGCCCAGCGCCAGCTCTGTGACATCAGGGCTTGTGAGGGTCCTGCAGAGGGCGTGTGTCAGTGCAAATTGTGTTAGAGGACTTGCAACAGCATGGGAACTAAGGCAGTGAACAGTTACTTCTGTGTGTGTAACGACAGAAAGTAAAAGAGCCTGGAAATGGGAGGGATCTCTAGGGAACGATTCAGTTTCATAAAGCCAACACTTCCCCAGCACTTGTACAAGGCACCGTGGAATGGAAAGACAGAGAAATGCCTCCACCAAGATTTTCATCTGGTATGAAGAAGAGATTCACACCAGTAATTCTAATGTAGAGTAGAATTCGGTATATGATATAATAATGATGTGATTAACAAAATGCTCTCACAGAAGTGCTCTCTCAACCTCAGGACAATTTAGTAGGACAGGTATCAAATCTCCCTGTAGTGATAAGGAGACTAAAGCGACTTTCCCAAGTTTACGTGATTGGTAAGTGATAAATGCAACATTTAATCCCAGTGCTCTTTCCCCCATATCCCTGTACCCTTATACATTACTCTAACAAGAGATATTGGGGAAATATTATTAAGGCTTAGAACAGGGATTAAAGATAACTTGGAGGTAAAAGGAGTAGATCATAAGTGCTTCCCAGAGAAGGTGACATTTAAACTAGGCCATGAAATATGTCAGATTTTAACAGACGTTCACGGGAGTGGGAGAGGCATTCCAGGCTTAGGGAACAATATGAGCAAAAATAAGGAAGCAAAATAGTGCATAGTATTTTACTCATGGTACATTTTGGCTGAAGTATAAGATCTGGAGCTGGGATAGATTGATCAGGGCAGGGGAGTAGAAGAAGACAAGCTTGAAAATTAGGTCAGGTAGCAACCAGAGAGGACCTTGAATGTCATATTAAAGAGTTAAGGCTTTATTTCTAAACAATGGGCAGCCTCAAAGTCTAGAGGAGTGATGTCATCAGAGCTATTATTTAGGCAATTTAATTTGGCACCAGTGAAAAGGGACCATTTATGCAATCAGTCAAGCAACAGGCCCTTGCCATGTGCCAGGCATAGTGCTAGGTGCTGAGGATATAGAAATGCCTTAAGTAACAGTCTCTGCCCAAATCTGGTAGGATAGAAAAGAAGGAGGAGAGATTGCGAGAACGGTTGGAAAGTGGATCTGGTTGGATCCACCTTCAGAATATATCACCTCCCCACTGTCACCCCTCCCCCAGCAGTCAGTTCCCACTGGACTACTAGAAAGCCCTCCTAATTGGACTCCTGTTCCACCCTTGTCTGTCCTACAGCAGCCACAGTGCTGGTCTCAGTCCTCCTGCACCTGCCCATCTACAGTCTGTTGTGGTCAACTGGCCTCATGATATGACCTGACTTCTCTTCTCACCTCATCTCCTTCTTCTGCCCCCTCAGTCACCCATCCCAGCAACACTGGCCTCCCTGCTCCTTACTCCTTGAACACATAATTGTAGCTCAGGGCTTTGGCACCTGCTGTTTCAACTGCCTGGAAGGTTCTTCCTCTAGTTTTCCAGATGGCTTGCTCCATCCCTTCATTCTGGAGAGGCTTTCCCTGACTACCCATTACAAAAAGCCCTCTATCCCTCACCCTGCTTTGCTGTTCTTTAAAGGAATCCTCTGACATATTCTGTATTTGCTTATTTTCTGTCTCACTCACTAGAATATACATTTAATAAAGGTAGATATTTTTATTCACTGATATATCAGCACAGCACATCACAGTGCACAGCTGAATAGATTCTCAACAAATACTTGTTGAACGAATGAAGCTATTGCAATGGCCCAAACTCAAAGGAAACCAGTAGAAATGAAAAGAGGGCGAAGCGAAGGGATATCAAGATATCCCATGCTGCCTGCTCTTTTCCTAGAAAACTAAACTGGCTATAAGGGGGAGGGGTGGCTGGTGAGAGGTATATTTAAGCCTCACTTGTTTATACAGGAAATGCAGAAGATAAACAGTTTGCACAGCCTTTCTCACTGAGGTCTCTCTGCCTCTGTGTCCTTGTGGGCCCCTGGGCCTCTTTCATTCCCCTCCGGCTGAGTGCTGGCAGTGCTGAGTACGTGATTAAAAAGTGTTTGGTTCAAACTGAGTATTTGCCATGTGCCAAGCATTATGATAGGTACAGAGGACAGAGAGAGAGAGGCCCTACTTAAGGAGCTAAACCTACTGTGGTAAGGCAGACAAATTCAATTGTTTTTCCTCAAATGGGGTTTAAGTGCTACACAGAAGGAACTCGAAAGGAAGAGCCTTTAATCCAGGTGGGGGTAGTTAGGGAAATATTCCTGGAGGAGGTGGTACTTGAAGATGAGCAAGGATTAGCTAGACAAAGAACTGGAAAGGCATTCAATGTGAAGGGAACAGCATCAACAAGGGCAAAGATGCATGTGACACTATATAACACAAGGGGTTGAAGAATTTCACTATGATAAGAGCATAAAACCATGAGAGTCTTTAACAGGATTCATTTTAGGAGTAGTAGGAATGTGATTTTGGGTTTCACTCAGTCAACAGTCACCTGTCCTTCATCAGCTCTCACTTGCTTCCAGTTTTCTGAACGCATTCCTCCCCCCACCAATGGGATCTGGCTGATCCACAAGTGCCAAGTGTATAGGGAGAAAGCAAGGAGGTCTGCTGTAGCCCAGGAAGGATGAAAGGACTTCTTTACTCTGGGGAGAGAGCTGAGGTACTGACCCTCCTTCCCTGTTAACCCATTTCCAGCTGCCACCCAAGGGGAAGCTTCGGAGCTTGTGTAGCCAGCATGTGGAGAAGCTTCAGACCTTCCAGCATCTCCACCCCATCGTGGTCCAAGATGCTTTCCCCCCGCTCTACAAGGAACTCTTCAGCGCTGAAACTGAGTTGCCTGAGGGGCTGTCCAAGTGACTGAGGATGGACTCCTTTCCCTTCCCTAGAGCCTGCTGGGCCACCTCCCTGGACCCCCTCTCACCCTCAGCCTTTTCCTTTCCTGTGCCCCCAGGAGGGTGGACCCTGTCTAGTCTTTGGGGGTGAGCAAATGCTGAGACTGGCTTTCTGCCCATAGCTTTCCTGGCAGTGGGCCAAGAGCCAGAGGCTTGGGTGGAGGAACCCCATCTCCTGCCTTCACTTTGCTCTGTCTCCTTTCCCATGCTCCATCACCCCCAGCTTCTGGGAGGCCTGGGGTGGATATAAGGACCTCTAGGAGGACCAAGTTGTCCTTAGGGCAACAGGAGGATCTGGGACACACTGGATGAATGGAACTCATCTTTGGGCTCAGAAGCTAAGAATAGGCCTTTGAAATACCTCATTGCGTTTCCCTGTGGGCTTCAGCTGAGGTAGATGCATCAAGCTCAGAGACTGGCCTCTGGAGCCCAGAAGGACTTGTGTGTAACATGAATCGGGGTCTTTAGATTTTCTGCCTTCCCTCTTCCTCCCAGCTCAGCAAGGAAGTGGTTGGGTACCCTGTCCTCTTCCTGGGGCTTTAAAACAAATTGGATTTATGGAGGGTAAGGATGGGGTAGGGGTAAAGGGCTGGGGATAATTTTTTATGGGGTTTGGGTATAGCGACAGGGTACAATGAAGGTCAAGAGCATCACAGGCAAAGAGAGAATTCAAACCTCTTATGTGCACTTTAAAAATCAACTTTAGGGGTTAGCACAAATCTGAGATACATGTCCACATTACAGATGAAAACACATATTCACAGACTCAACCTGCAACTATGTGGTTCTATAGATCCACATTTAATCTGACAATCTCTGATTTCCTTGAGGACACAGCTCAGAGACGTTTAGTGGCCTCAGGGAAGAGTCCCAATTCTGAGGGGGCCTCAGAATACTTTCATGGGGCCCCTGGGGTGGTCCAAACTCTATCCCAGCCCCAGCTGCCTCCCATCATGAGAAACCCAGAGAGACGCAGAAATGTCTGGACACTGCTCAGTCAAAAAGGCCAAGGACAGACCCTCAGAGGACTGTCTGGGCCCTGCCTTCCAGCCTTGTTTTCATGGAGAAAAGAGGCAGATGTAATCCCACTGCTCTGTGACTGGGCACCAGCAGGGAGAAGGAGACCGACGAGCAGGGCAGAGACCTGCGATCCCACCCCAGAACTTCTCTTGGCTTTATAAACAGCTGTGAGCCCTCTTCTGAGGGATAAACAGCAGATGGTAGGGAGAGAGTATGCTCCTGTAGGAGGAGGGGTTTAGTTGGGTGAACATAAACCCCAACTTGTGCCATTCCTTATAAAATTATTTTAAAGGCCAGAAGTGATATGTCTGAGGGTCATGGGAGCCTTAAATAGGATTACCTACATGCTGCCCTCCAGTCTCATTCCTGTGTGGAGAGACCTAGGTTGCCAATCCAGCAATCCATCCATTGCAAGAGCATAAAGATTCTATCACTGGCTCTGAGCAGTTCCCCAGTGAGGCTTGGAGCTTATCCAAAGGAACCCCCACCAGAGTCTCCAACTTAGCTCTAGGGCAGATGATGCTCTGGACTGAGAACTTTCCCTACAGATGATACCCACAGGGGACACTTAGACTGAGTTGTTGCACAGAAGTGCCCCACATCTAGGGAACCAAAAGACAACCTAAAGGAAGTGCTTGGCCCCAGAGCACCCCAAAGGGGAATCAAGATGTCCCAGAGACCCTTTTGGGTGGCCCAGCAGCCTCTACCTCCTAACCCCTCCTGGGACCCCAGAGCCTCCCTCTGCACTTCCTCCCCCCCACTTGCCATCCTGTAGTGGTGCTTGCTGCAGCAGCGGGGTTGCTGCAGACTCATTCTTGCCGGGTTTTAAAGAGAGAGAGAAAAAAAAAAGGAGAAATGCTTTCTGGCTCTTTTCTCAAACTCATTCTTGGCAGTAGCCGCTGCAGTGGCAACAGCAGGCAAGCAGACAGGCAGGGAGTGAGGCATACGGGGGAGGTGCAGGCTGCCGACTGAGGTGCAGCTCCAATGGGACGGCCCCCAGCCCCGGACAAATGTAGTGCCCAATTTGATGCTGCCCTATGTGCCCAACTTGATGCTGCCCTACAGCTTCTCCGGTAAGTGCCCCTAACTCCGATCCGAAACTGCAGCTGCCCTTCTCCATCACATACTCAGAGGCAAGGCCAGACCAGGGTGTCCATCAGTGCTAGAGGGGCTGTGTCCCCTTCCCCCAGCCAACCATTGATCCAGGCCCCATAGGACTTTGACGGGAAAACTGAAATGTCCTGATGGCCCCCGTGGCAAAGGACCCCAGGGCAACCTCCCTCCATCTCCCAAGTGGTCCCTCTACCTTTAAGAAGGGTTTTTTCTGCAATCAGTGTAGATATTCCAGAGATCTTTCCTTCAAGTGCCGCTCACCACACAAGTCCCCATGCCTCAGTCAGGTCACCTTTAAAAAGGATGTCCAGGTTCAAATGTGTCTCTGGACTGTCACATACAGATAAGAAGAAAGCTCCCTATTCCTTGAGGGGATAATGCCCCAGACCCCACCCCATTTAAAGAAAGAAGAGGTTTTAAAACTATCTCTTCCTGCAAAGTGGCATGAAGCCAGTCATGAAGCCATGGAGATTGACAAGGGAAGTTTTTGATTAAATCGGCCACTTCAAAACTAAAGAAAGAGGATGGTTCCAGATCCCCCAGCCCCTGGCCCAGTACACTCTGGGAACTAAGAGGGAACTCACAGGGGTGGGAAGAAGGGAAGCTGGGTTACATGCTTCACTGCCTTTTTGCCGAATGCAGAGCCAGAAAGATAAGCAGGAATTGCAGTGGTAGTGATAAAGAGCTGGCTGTCATGTCAGGTGGACTTGCCAGAACAGGCATAGAGGGAATGAGGGGACCAGGACATCTCCCTCCTGGAGGATGCTTAGCTGCAGAGACCTGTGAGTTTGGGACAGGGACAGGAGGGGCCTGGCCAGCAGCCTTTGCTTGCCTCATGCTACTGTTTCTCATCCCCAAGCCTCAGAATGGTGTCCTGCCTCCCTCTGTTCTTTCGGCCTCTTTGATCTTCAGTTTCTCAACTACTCCAGTGCTCTGAAGTGTGTATAGGAGAGCCACCAGAGTCCTTCTAGAGGAGGGTGGAGCATGCAAGGAAAGGGGGGGAATTCACAGTATCTCTTATACTCTCTCTTAAGTTCCATGTGGTAGAAAATGGGGCATGTAGTAGAAAGTTGGCCCTGTAGGGCTCAGACAGCCTGACGTCTGAAAGTCCAAAGGTGATCAGGATCTGCAGCCAGAAAGAAACTCAGGCATAACAGTCAGCTCTTTATCACTACCACTGCAATTCTTGCTTCTCTTTCTGGCTCTGCATTTGGCAAAAAGGCAGTGAAGCATGTAACCCAGCTTCCCTTCTTCCCACCCCTGTGAGTTCCCTCTTAGTTCCCAGAGTGTACTGGGCCAGGGGCTGGGGGATCTGGAACCATCCTCTTTCTTTAGTTTTGAAGTGGCTGATTTAATCAGGCAGCTTGCCTCCAAAGGGAGCATCACTTGCTTCTTGCCCTATCCCTTTAGCCATCCCTTGTCAGTTTCAGTACCTCCCTTCCCTTGGGTCCCTGCTGACACTGAACAGGGTGAGTGGAGGGCTCTTACCTGCTGTGGGACCCCTTCTCCTCCACCATCCCAAACCAGTCTCAGTGGTCGTCACAGCCGCCATCTTCTGATTTTTCCAGGCCTCTGGTGCCTAGAGACGCACTTTAAGTTGACAGGCTGTGCATGCTCCTTATGCCCAGGGATCTGCTGCGCCAGCCAAGGTCTCCCTACCTCCCCACCCACAGCGACTGGTTAGATGCTGTCTCTCCTCATTTGTCTATGCCTCCCTGGCTCACAGTGTCTCTTGTGTATTGCTTAGGCAGCTGAGGCCAAAGGGTACAAGAGATGTCTCTCAGATTCACACTGAACTTGAATCAAAACACCATAAAGGACGGTTATAAGAGAAGCTTAAGACTGAGAACCAAGCAACAAAACTCAAAGCTTGGGCATCCCTTGGGTCTCTCACACAGCCCAACGTCATTTATATGGGTGGAGGGGTTGCCCTTGGGGTTCTTGTAAGGGATGAAAGTGCCCCCTACATCCTGTGCCATGACTAATGTGCTGCTTGGCTGTTGTCCACACAGGCATTTTGGGAAGATTTGGATCTTGCTAGCCCAGGGCCACAGGTCCTGCGCCAGGCTGCAGAAGGGCAAGGGCCAGTAGGTGGAGACTTGGGGGCAGAGCTAAAGTCAGCATGTTGCTTAGCCTTGAGTGACATAGTCAAGATAAGGGCCTCTCTCCAGTCAGGAGCCAAGGATGTGATGCCCCTGGGTCTGAGGCAAATCTGTGCATAGATAACATAGGAGAACGAGGGTGGGTAGATAGGGACAGAGGGACAGAGCAGAGCTTTGGAAGAGCAGGTGTCAGAGAAGAGGGACCTGAGGTATTCCTGGATCTCATAGGTATGTGAAAAAACCCATCACAGGGAAACTCTCAGAGACTCAAAAGTTACTTCCCTGCTGTTTCCTGTCCCATTCCCATAAAGCTTTCCCCACAGAAATCAGGCTTGACTAGGCTGAGGTGCAGCTCCAATGGGACGGCCCCCAGCCCTGGACAAATGTAGTGCCCAGCCTGATGCTGCCCTCCAGCTTCTCCAGTAAACACTTGGCCTGTTACCCGGGGCGGGAAAGGGAGGAAAGTAGATTCCCCAAAGAGGAGGCCTAGGAGGCCCCATGTGGGTGGTACAGCAGGATTCCTCCTAGTTCTGCACCCTATCTGCTGGCAGTGCTGAGATGGACAGCTTGACCTCTCCTTTATGGAAGTCCAGGAAAATCCAGGGTTACCATCATCTGAAGTCACTTTCCAAAAAGTGCCCTGTCATCATCTATTCCAGGACTGAAGAGGGGATGGCTGTGGTCACAGCTCCAAAGCAAGCCTGGCCCCTGTGGCCCCCTCTCCTTTTCCTACTCCTCCTGCCTGGAATGAACAGTGGCAGCTGCCTGGCTGTGTGTGATTGTACCTCTCAGCTCCAGGCAGTACTCTGTGCCCATCAGCAACTGGAGGCTGTCCCTGGGGGACTCCCACTGGACACTGAGCTCCTGGACCTAAGTGGCAATCGCCTGTGGGGGCTTCAGCAGGGAAGGCTCTCCCACCTGCGCCTGCTCCAAGAACTGGACCTCAGCTATAACCGGCTTTCCACCCTTGAGCCCGGGGCCTTCCATGGCCTACAAAGCCTGCTCACTCTGAGGCTGAAGAGCAATCGACTGCGAGTAATGGGGCCTGAGGTCTTCTCAGGCCTGTCTGCCCTCACACTGCTGGACCTCCGCTTCAACCAGATTGTCCTCTTCCTTGATGGAGCTTTTGGGAAGCTGGGCAGCCTCCAGCAGCTGGAGGTTGGGGACAATCACCTGGTGTTTGTGGCCCCAGGGGCTTTTTCAGGGCTGGCCAAGTTGAGCATCCTCACCCTAGAGCGCTGTAACCTCAGCACAGTACCTGGCCTGGCTCTGGCCCATCTCCCAGCCCTAGTGGTCTTAAGGCTTCAGGAACTGGACATTGGGAGGCTGCCTGCAGGGGTGCTCCGGGGCCTTGGGCAATTAAAGGAGCTGGAAATCCACCACTGGCCATCTCTGGAGGCTCTGGAGTCTGGGAGCCTGGTTGGGCTCAATCCCAGCAGCCTGGCCATCCCCCACTGCAATCTGAGCTCAGTGCCCTTCCAGGCTCTGCACCACCTGAGCTTCCTCAGGGTCCTGGATCTATCTCAGAACCCCATCTCAGCCATCCCACCACGAAGGCTCAGTTCCCTGGTGCAGCTCCAGGAGCTACGTCTGTCACGGGCATGCCTCACCTCCATTGCTGCCCATGCCTTCCATGGCTTGACTGCCTTCCACCTCTTGGATGTGGCAGATAACGCTCTTCAGACCTTGGAGGAAACAGCCTTCCCTTCTCCAGACAAACTGGTCACCCTGAGGCTGTCTGGCAACCCCCTAATCTGTGACTGCCGCCTCCTCTGGCTGCTCTGGCTCCGCCGCCACCTAGACTTTGGCACATCACCCCCTGCTTGCGCTGGCCCCCAGCATGTTCAGGGGAAGAGCCTGAGGGAGTTCTCAGATATTCTACCCCCAGGGCATTTCACTTGCCAACCAGCTCTGATCCGAAGGTCTGGGCCCCGATGGGTCACAGCAGAGGAGGGGGGGCATGCTGTTTTCTCCTGTTCTGGAGATGGAGACCCAACCCCCACCATCTCCTGGATGAGGCCTCAAGGGGCTTGGCTGGAAAGGGCTGGGAGAGTAAGGGTCCATGGGGATAGGACGCTGGAGATCCGCTCAGTGCAGCTACGGTATAGAGGGGCCTATGTCTGTGTGGTCAGCAATGTAGCTGGGAATGACTCCCTGAGGACCTGGCTGGAAGTAATCCAAACTGAGACAGCAAATGGCACGCTCTCTGACGCCAACATCACCATGCCACGGATCCCAGAGCCTTTCTTCATGGATAGCAGAGGCATAGCTGTGGTGCTGGCAGTTGGCTTCCTCCCCTTCCTCACCTCAGTGACCCTCTGCTTTGGTCTCATCGCCTCTGGAGCAAGAGCAAAGGCCAGGTCAAACATCACATAACCTTTGACTTTGTGGCACCTTGGCCATCTGGGGATAAGAACTCTGGGGGTAACCGGGTCACTGCCAAGCTCTTCTGACCTCTGCTTCCACACTGGGGACCTAGACATGCCAGCTTCAGATATCAAAGGGGAAGAGAACCAAGACCACTTGGACTAAAAACCTAGTCCCAAGCTGCACAGACTTCTCACACATTCCGCCCACACTGCGCCAACAGCTAATGAAGCCTCCCAATAGAGAGTCTGCCTCTTCATGGTTTTGCAGTTTGAGGATAAAATTATCATCAAAAGATAACCATACCCTGAGAGTATTAAGGAGCTGAAGATGTAGACCTTGTAGTCAGCCCAGCAGCCCACACACACAGAGCAGGAAACATAACCAAGACTTTAGTCTGTTAGTTCACACACACTTACACCCTTTCATAACTTTTGCCAATCACAGCTGTAAAATTATTTCAGAGGTGGGGCTGGGAAGTGCCACTTGCTTCTTGGAGTCTCTGCTACTCAACCAAGTGGTCTTCCTCTTCTTTTCTGCTCTGTCCCCTCCCCAGGTGCAAGGAACTAGGGCCAAGGGCCTCAGGCTAAGGAGAAGAGGATATGAAAGTGTGATGGGGAGGACAGGCTACGCACTGACACTGTGTCTGCATGAATCTCCAACACCTGCCTCTGTATGTCACATTAAACCTGCTGCCAAAAGGCCAAGACAGTAGCAGCCATGGCTAAATGTGATCTCTGGAGTTTTACTTGCTTTTTTCCACCCCTCATTTCTGTCAAATCTCCCCCTTCCTCCCTGCACATTGAGCATGTATCCCAGTGACCTTACCTGAATGTAACACAGCTTGACCAATAGGCTTTATGGAAAAGGAGACCAGGAGATAATCTGGAGAAATCAGCACTTCATTTCCCAGTTCAGTTTCAGCCCTTTCCCTTGTACACTCTGTCTCTGGAGCTGGAGAAAGAGAGATCCTCTACCTTCCAGTGGATCCCTCTGCAGAAATTCCAACCTAGGACACCCAGCTCCTTCCCTTCTTTCTCTTCTTGTGCAGCTTCTCCAGAATACCTTCTCTGCGAGAAGCCCTTTAATGAAACAGTGCTGCCACCCCCTCAGCTTGTTCAGTCATCCACAAGCCAGTCCCTTATGGCACTTGCCTGGGAAGGCTGCCCTTAGCTCAGGTGCGAGTGTACAGGCTATGTGTGTGTGTGCATGTACCAGTGTGTAACTGCAACCAGGGACACGTGCAGGTGGTGTGTGAGCATGTGTAACGCTGTTATGGTCCACATCATGGAGGCAATCCAATGGAGTCTCTCCCCAGGGAGGGACAGTAGTGGAGAGAGAAGAAAAATAACGGTTATTGAGGGCCCATTCTATGTCAGTGGCTTTGTATATGCTTTCTTATTTAATCCTTAGATCAACCCTGTAAGATAGGGCATCTTAACTGATGGAACTAAAGGTCAAAGAGATCAAGTAATTCGTTCAAGTACACAGAGCAGTCAGTGGGAGAGCTGCTTTTGAACTTAGGGCTGTCTGGCTCAAAATCCAAATGCCTTCCACATCCTGCCACACTGCTCTAGTCACTGCCTGCTCCTCTCCTAAGTCCCTTCCCCAGGACTCTCACAGAACCTGACCTGTGAGAAAGGAAACCTAGGGTCAGCTTCCACTTCGCCAACTCTGAACAACTCTTTTAGGGAGGCAGGGATCAGTCATTGGTTAACTTGAAGGCACCTGGTTCAGGAAGCTGAGGTAGGTTGGTTGGTTTTACTTTTTCTTCTCAGCCCCCTCTCCCAGTATCCTTGCTGTCTCTGCCCCTGGGTCCATCAGAAAGGGGCAGATATTACAGGGCTCAGCTGGACTGAATTGAAATGCCTGACTTCCAGCAATAGAGCCTCTCATGATTAAAACTGGAGGGTTCAGATTTCCTGGGTTCTTTTCTGGGTTCTAACCTCAATGACCTCTTAGGTTACAGGAATTTCTAGTATGGTGGAACAATCCATGAGCTGTTCCAATTCAAGGGGAATTTTCCTGCCTTCTGCCTACCCCGGCATGACAGAACCTACCTCAGGTTATCCCATTTTGACCTCCTTCTACCCCTTCTCTCCTCCATTTCAGACATGGTCTCACCTAGGCTGAGAAGTTTGGGCCCAAAGATACTCTGACAGCATTTTGGCACGCCCCATTTTGGTCCCCACTATATTCTAATTTCTCTATTTCCTTTGCTGTGTTGGATCCCTGATTCAAGGGATGAATGCTCTGCAAGGCAATGATCCTCAACTTTTTGAGTCACAGGCCCCTCTGACAATATCTGTTCCCAGATATGAACAAAAATGTTTATACATTGTCCAGTCATCCTAAAGCTATGGAATGTAGGTTAAGAACCTCCGCTGTGAGAAGCATCGGTTGGCAAGGGGAAAGATGAGCATTAGTCTCCCCAGGACCAATTAGAGGCAAGAAGAGGCTGGGAAGGATTACAGTGCAAGATGTTAGCACAGGTAAGAGCTGGTGGCAGGACAAGCCCTGTGAAAAACACAATATTGCTTTGAGGTTCTCACTTCCCCATCCCTTTTCCTCCAGCATCCACATCCCAGGGAGAGGCAGGAGACTTTGCATGGGACTTTTGCTCTGAGAAGTGAGCATGATGGTGATTCAGCTAGAGGGCATTTGACACCAGGGACTCCTGAGTCCTCTTCCACCAAACTTCTTTGTAAGGGGAATTAAGAAGGAAGACGTAGGGCTGTGTGGTGGTGGCCAGAGAAGCTGAGAAGAATCCCTCTCCTAGGACACCTGCCCCAATTCACCAATCTAACCTAAAGATTTAACAGTAGCACCAGCATTAAAGCTGATACTGAGGCCTATACTCCCAGTTGCTGGTTTCTGGTGAAAAGCCCTGAGTAATCGGGGGGAGAAGGGTAACTCCTATAATAGGCAAAGGGAGATATGAGGGCTGGTTCCCAAAAACTCCGATGGCTGAATATAGTTTGAATAGACTGCATGTTGTCCAGAAAGGGAACTCTGAGCAGCCAAGGCCTTGGAACCAGACTACTGTGTTTGAACCCTGGACTGCCCAGCCCTCCAGTGAAAGTCTACTTTCCTGTTTTTTTTTTTAAGGTATCATGAAGGTTTCACAAGAAAAACAATGTGGTTACTACATTCACCCATATTATCGAGTCCTCCCCCATACTCCATTGCAGTCACTGTCCTTCAGTGTAGTAAGGTTTTCCTGCTTTTTTTATTGAGTGGGAACACCGATCACAGAGCTCTCTGGGCAGCTGAGGCCTTACGTTAACTAGTTTCACCTACTCCCAGAACACCCTGCAAGAGAAAGAGAACAGACTCTTCACAACTGGAAATTAGAATAAAAAAATCACAATTCCCGCAATCCTGGCCTCCCACAACTCAATCTTTCGATCCTGATTTGGGCTCCTGAAGAGGAATGAGATGACAAATCCCAAATACACAGTGATTTGAGAGTTTGGAATCATCTCACCTAAAGTTATTCCTTCTAGTCCCCAACCTCCCTACCAAGCCAAGTAGAAGTCAATCCTCTGAAAAATTTCTGGGAAAAGTGATTACACCTGGCTTTTTGGCACCCTAAGAAATTCCATCTGTGGTATAATCTTTAATTCTTAATCCCTCTTTCTGGACTTCCACTTCATTTCCTCTTTTTTGCCCACCATCTTCCATTGGAGCTGGAAGATGGGCCCATAAAGTAGGCCTGTTTTTTATAGCAACAGTGGATATTCTTCCTTGGGTCTGACTACTCTTTTATCTTTTTAAAGATAAAACTATAGCAATCAAGGTACTCAAATTCCTAGGAATAATCTTAATGAGAAATATATAAATTTTCTATGACAAAAACTATAAAATGCTACTGATGTGACATCAGTGACTTAAACATGTATACGGGAAGATTCTATATGATAAATACAATAATTCTGCCTTAGGTAATCTAAAAATAGGTGATTCTAATCAAAATAACATTAACAGTATAATCAAAAAGTAAATTGTGATATATCCCCACAATACTACACAGTAATGAGAATGAATTAACTAAAACCACACACAAAAATATGGCTGAATCTTACAAAAATATGTTAAACAAAAGAAGCCAGGCACAAAAGAGAATATACTTCATGATTGTCCTTGTATGAAAAACAAAAACAGGCAAAACTAGTTTGAGCTATTAGGAGTTGGAAGAAAGGTTTACCCTTGAGGGGAATAACGACAGGGAAGGAATATGAGAGCAACACTGGACATGCTAGTGATATTCTGTGTCTTGATCTGGGTGTTACATAAATGTGTTACATTTTTGAAAATTCATCAAGATGTATACTTTTCACTTGTGCATTTTTCTGTATGTATACTGTACATCAATTTTTTTAATTGTGGTAAAAAACAATGTACAATTTTTTTTATGTTGTGTTTATTTTTTCTTTTACAATGAACAATTTTAACAGTATGAATAAAGAGATCAATGGAATGAAAAATCCGGAAAGAGAACCAAATACATACAGCATTTTGGTCTTATAAAGGCAGCATTCAAAAACAATGGAGGAAATGTGGGCTATTCAGTAAGTAGGCCTGGATAAAGCAAAATTAAGTTGGAATATTTACTTGTTTCATGAATGTCTGATCCTGTCTGAAAAAAAAAAAAAATTAAGTTGGATCTCTACCTCACACTTTAACACCAAAATTAATTCCAGGTGAAGCAAATATTTGCACATACAAAAAGCCACTATAAAAGTAAGCAGAATTTACACATATAAATCAAGTATAAAAGTCAAACGAATATTCATATTTGACCTGATTGTTTATAATTCATAATGTGTGATCAAAACTGAAAGTTTCTGTGATGACTGCCCTTGTACTGTTCACCATGTAAGAACTTATTCACTATGTAAGAACTTGTTCACCATGTAAGAACTTGTTCATTATGCTTCAGAAGATTGGAGACTGACGAGAATTAGGTTTGGGGTGGATTAATGATTGTACATTGAGCACTGAATCCCCTATACTGAATTTTATTGTTGTTAACAACCATTTGATCAATAAATATGAGAGATGCTCTCTCAAAAAAAAAATTATCAGAAATGTATTTTATCAGTGTTTATAATTTATAGATTTTACAATTTAGACACAGCTATTAGCTATGTATTGGTTTCATGGTTAAAGAGATTTCTAAATTTAATAAATTATCTCAAAGCTTGGATCCAAAAAAAAAAGTAAACAGAATTTAATAATCTTAGGTAGTAGGAGTCTAAATATGATAAAATAGAAAACTCAAGTTATCAAGGAAAAGGTTGACAAATTCAACTACATAAAATGAAAAAATCTTTATTTTTGCATAGCAAATAGTAAAGCAAAAAGATCTAGGGCAAACTGAGAAAAGGAAAAACTACTTTCAATTTATATATGAACAAAGGGCAAATATTAAGCCCTAATAAACAATAAAAATATGAATTTCCACTTAAATATATTAAAAGATGCTCAGCCTTACTTATAATAGAAGAAATTCAAATTACAATCAGACACCATTTATCCTATGAGATTATCAAAAAATAAAGTTTGATAACACTATAACACACAGGTCCTTTTCATACATTGCTGATGAGAGAGAAAATTGGTCAAATTTCTGTGGAAGGCATTTTGGCAATACAATACTTTTCAAAAATTGCTGGTGGAATGAAAATGAGAAAAATCTTAGGAAGGGTACTTGGATATCAATACAATATTAAAGGACTGATTGAATATATCTTAATACTCAGGCTGCTATGAAACGTATGAGGCAGATATACATTTTGCTATGGTAAGGTATCTAGGCTGTAAGACAGGAAACTGTAAAATTATGTAACAAGCAGTCAACTGTGTAAAAAAATACATATATATATATGTATGTTTATTATAGAGTATCTTCTGAAAGTCTCAAGAATCTGGTAAAATTGGCTGACTCTGAGGGAAACGAGTTACCATTCACTTTAACAACCTTTTATCCTTTTGGATTTTGTAGAATGTGCATGTATGACTTATTAAAAACATGCATATTTTAAAAATTAATAAAAAATCAAAAACTGAGACCCAAAGGTATCTCTTTAGTTGACCAAAAATACAATCTTGGATTCATTCAACATTCACTGAGTGCTTATCCTGTGCCAGTCATTATAATAGAAGCTAGCACGAACGATCTCTTACAATAAGCGCCCAACCCTTTACCCAAGTGAGCCCCTACTGCGAGGCGCGGTATGGAGCCGGGCACACGTAACGCTCCCCTCCACGTAGAGCCCAATCGTCTTTAACGGTCCAGGGACCCAGACGGCGGCTGGAACGCTCTCTTAAAAAGCCAACCGTCGCCTGCAGCCACCCACCTCCTTTCACCTTTCCCCGTTTCCCAAAGAAACGTCCTCCTTGGGGACTTCGCGCCAGTCGCCCGACCCGCTTCCCCCAATCCGTAGGGAAGGGCGGGCCCCTGACGCCCGCACGACCCGAAGCTCCCTTACCACGGTGTGCACGGAACTCGGGTCCCTCTCCATCTCTCCTGCCACGCGGCCCTCGTCACGTCTGCTTATTCCTCGACAGAGAAATAGAGTGGGTCCTTGCTCTCCGCTGCGCAGCTCCTTCCCGGTCTCTCCGTCTCCACGGAGCCTATTTTTTGTTTTGTTTTCTCCCCCCAAAAATGTTTTCCCTAGCTCCTGAGTCCCTGTCACAGTATGAAGACCGATCGAGGCAAAAGATTGCAGAGGAAACAAGTGATAAAGCATCGCCCATCATGAGGCTGTTTTCTCAATAGTCGCTGAGTTGTGGGATGACACTGGTTTTGTATGAAGTCCCTAATTTTGTGCGAACGGTGACACGCCCTACTGGTTCAATCACTCCTCCGGCACCTTGGTCCCTGCGTCGGGGGCTCTGATTTCTCGTGGCGTGGGAGGAGGAAGCTTCCTCGCTAATTGGCCTAGAGGCGGGACTCAGTGAAGCCTCTAATTGGCTGTTTAATTCTCAGCAGGTGCAATGTCAATTAACACTGTCTGATTTCCCTGGATCCTATTGGCTGGCATGGTGGAGGCTTCGAATTCCATCCGGGTAATGGGGAATCAGCACCCCGCAGCGCGGTCTCTCAAGGGTAGCCAGCGGTTAGGATTGGTTGTGGCGGGAAAGGCGAGTGGTCTGACTGCCGGCCGGGTGGTGATTGGTGCGGGCGGGCTGCGGGGGCGGGCACGCGGCAGCAGGAGCGAGGCGGGAGGGGCTCCGACTTCCGTGCGAATGGAAGGAGGCCGAGAGGGCAGGGGTGAGGTGCGGCGCTGAGCGCGGGACGGCCGACTGGGAGCGGTAAAGACGGGACCCAGAAAAGAGGTTTGGGGAGCGGGAGAGGCTGGGCCGGGGGTACCGCCGCAACAGGGAGGCTGAAATGTGGGTCCCCGGGTGGTGGGGCGCAGCTCTGGGGGGCAGCTTCACCCCCAGTGCTAGTAACCGTATCCGAAGGAATGCTCTGGTCGCGGGGTTAAGCCATGACCGAGATGGGGCGGGAGGGTTTACTCAAGCGAGCGTGGGCTCTTCCACCGGTCCTTTTTGAGAGAACCACCATCATTTTATCAGTTTGCATTTCATTTTCCCCAACTTTTTCTTTATCTCTCAAAGGATGACTATTCATAGCCGTCAGAATAAGTTGGTTTTTGTTTTTCCAGTTTTCCTCCTTTTTAAAGCATTGTGGGTTTTGACGGAAGACCCCCATGTCAAAGTCTACATTTTTAGAATTCTCAGCTTGAGAGAAATGGGTTGAGGCTTTTTCCACTCACTGGTTTAAAAACCAGAATAAGAAAATTGAATGAACTGCTTCAATTCAACAAGCCTGTCACCATGTTTTAGGTACTTTCCAGGTTCTGGTTATTAGGAGACACTGGAATGAAAGACCCTTAACTGAATGGAACTCACAATGTGACTTGACTCCTACCTGTTTTTTAATGATAATATAAAAGTAAGCCTTAGTTATACATGTCAGTTGTTAGCAACTGTTTTAATACAAATGTCAAGAAACTTCAAAGCTGGGTTTTATTAAAAAACATTTTCTAGGTACATTTGTCACCATGAAATAATTCACATTTCTTTTCTTTACCCAGCTACCCTTAGGAGCTGTGACCTTAAGTTTTAGTCTCCTTCCCAAATTCAATTTGAAGTAATAAAGTCAAACACAAGCTAGTATTCAGTATTATAGTTATCCCTGTTTCCATTGTATTATTTCCAACTTTTATTTCTTAAGAGAAACTTTCAACAGTGTGAAAGGTTATGTAGATTGTAAACAAAACTAGATTAATCAAGTA